GGCCGAAAATTAAACTATCAACACCAAAATTATATGATGTATCAGAAGAATCCCGAAATTCAGAAGTTATCCTAGCGTGTGTAATTAGAACCGACAAAACTGAAAAAGTTCCACTCATGAATTTGACAAAATTTAGTTCCTTGAAAAAACTTTATCGTTTGACCACTTGGATTTTCAGATTTATGTCAAATTTAAAAGCAAAAAGGAAAAATAGAAATTTTGTGGAAATTTCAGCCGAAGAAATTAGTAAATCTGAAACCTTTTGGTTAAAGCAAGCTCAAGAACATAGTTTCCCTGAAGTTATAGAGTCCCCAAGAGAAAACAAACACATTCCAAAAGATTCAAAATTGTTCGAATTAAATCCCATATTATCAGATGAAGGTCTACTTTTGGTACGAGGTCGGTTACAAAAGTCAAACCTACTATTTAACAACAAATATCCAATAGTAACTCTTTCAAAACATAAATTAAGTGAATTAGTAGTACGAGATGCTCATGAAGAGATTTGTCATGCAGAAGTAACTGATACTCTAGTGCATATACATGAAAAATTCTGGCTCTTAAAAGGAAAACAATATGTCAAATCAATCAGAGATTTTGGCTGTTATCAGAGATTTTGCTGCTGAGTAAATGCATAATATGCAAAAAATATAATGTACGTCCTGGACAACAAGTTACTGCACCTCTTTCCAGCGGATAGAGTTAATGAATCTCCGCCTTTCGCAATTTGTGGACTCGATTTTGCAGGTCCGTTGTATGTAAAAGAAAATGACAACAAATACTACATTTTATTGTTTACTTGCGCCACTACAAGAGCTATTCACTTGGAGCTCGTAAAAGGCATGAACACTCAAGAATTTTTACTTGCATTTCACAGGTTCGTATCTCGAAGATGTTTGTGTTCCACTGTATACTCGGACAATGCCAGTGCATTTAAAACAGCCGAACGTGAATTAAAGCAAATGTAGAAAGTGATTATTTACCCTGAAGTTAAAAAAAATTATACTTCGCATAGAATCGCATGGAAATATATTGTGAAACGTGCTGCCTGGTGGGGCGGGTTTTATGAACATTTAGTTCGCAGTGTAAAAACTAGTTTAAGAAAGAACATTGGGAAATCATCTTTGACTCAAAATGAATTAGAAACGCTTTTGAAAATTGGAAGAATAACCAAAACTTTTATTGGTAGAGATGGAATGATCAGATCGTGTTAAGTGAAAACTGGTAATTCGGTAATCAAACATTCAGTGCAGCTATTGTACAATTTAGAAATTGATGATATCAATAATTGCAATAATCAGTGACTTATCAAAAATAGACTGAATGACTGATAAACTGATGATAGACATAAAAAAGTATCATTTTCACTCTCAATATTCAGTTAAATTTGTGATGAACCTATTGTTCATCGGCGGAGGGGGGGGTTGTTGAAGTTATTTCTTTTTCCCCTCTGATGAAGTCAATTTTTCCTTTATTTTTTATCGTCTGTCGCCGAACAGGTCACGTGACCGGCGGCAGTAAAAGAGTATAATAACTCTTTTAGTTTAGCTTGTGAGTGATACTTGAAATGAACTTTCTTGGCCGCATAGCGGTAATAAGCAATTACAGTATTGTTCTTGATATATTCAATCTTGGCCCTATGATGAGAAAATTTATACTACATGTAAATTTCATGTTTAAAAAATGTATATATTGTAAATAATATCTTCACTAAATCTTACTGTATTTCAATTGGAACTTGTCATTCGTGAGTTCTTTACGTGAAAATGGTATATTGACTCTTGATATACTCATATATTCTCGATTAAATTGATGCCCTCCCAACTCGCGAATAAAAGAGAATCGTGATCATAACGTTCAAGGTTTTTACAATGGCAAATTTCAAAACGCGCCAATATATAAATTCACGTATATCTTCGGAAATTTTGAATAAAAAACTGTAATCTTTTGCAGGTATGCTTAGAAATACGTCTACTTTAAGATGATAGTAAAATTTTTATAGATTACAATTCCACAAGCTTTTTGAAAAATTTATAAATATTATTTAAAAATACAAATTTTAAAAATAAATCATAAAAAATGGGTGAATTTTATTTGGAATGAACCTGAATTTCGAAATGTGAAGGAACTGTGAAAGGAAGAATCAAGTAAGTTTAATAAAAAAAAAAAAAAAGAGAAATTAATAAATATATACCAAACTCAATTAACATTGAGGAGCTAAAGTTTTGAGAGCTAATTTTTTGAAAACTACTCGTGCGATTTTTACAAAACATGGTAGCTTGACGTAATTTGGGTCGTAGAATCGAAATATGAAAAAAAATTGGCATGTTATTTCATAAAACTTACGATTTTGTTTCCAGGGCCGGATAAAGGGCGATTGGAGGTATTGGGCCCAATCGGGCCCTGCATTTGAAAGGCACGCGTTACCATCAAAATGAACAAAAAAAAAAAAAAAAAAAAAAAAAAAAAAAAAAAAATCGAAATGTAAAGCAAATTCCTTTTGACGATAATGGATAAATTATGAATTATTCAAATAATTAAAAATATATTTATTTTAAGTTCGAATTGGTGGATGAGATTTATTAATGTGTTTATTATTATATAATATATACTTTATAATATAGAAAACTGATACCCGTAAAAGTTCATGTCAAATGTATTGAATTTAATTGGGATAGTCCTATATTAGAGAGATTTTGCACTACTTACGTGAACTACTTTACGTACGTAAACTAATATGCAGGTATATGCACGCGCAACTAGTTGGGCAACCGTACCAGTCCATGGCGGATGTATAGCTGGTATCAAATGTCAATTGTTTCTTGCATTTGTAGTTCGCTATTCTTCTAATCGTTATAATTATTAGAGTCGTATTTTGTGACTACAATTACTAATTGTTGAATAAGATAAGTGCTAATTATATTACATAATGTTTATTAACAAATTATTAACAAACAAAACGAAATGGAAATTTTCTAGGTATACTTGAATTACTTGGAAAATCTGATCCAGTAATGCAGGATCATATACAAAGAATTGCCCCGAAACAAATACACCAAAGTTATTTAAGAAAAACAATACAAAATGAAATAATAAACTTAATAGGCAATAAACTTTCGGAATAAAAGGCTTCAGAAATAAAAGAAACATTTCAATTATGAAAGCGATGATGAACCTATTGAAGACTCTATAAATACATACAAGATATTTTTTTAATGTTGTTTTATATAAAGCTACAGAATCACTAAAAGATCGTTTTGAACAATTAAAAAATCGCAATGAATTATTTGGGTTTCTGGGAAAATTTCAAAATATGGAAAAAGAAGTACTTCAAAAACATGCAGCTGAATTAGAAATTTCTCTAACAGATTCTAAGTTAACAGAAAATAATGTACCAAAGGTGAAAGAAGCTGATATAGACGGAAAAATGTTAGTTGAAGAAATGAAAGCTTTGAAATCTATTTTTCCTTCAGAAATTTTTGAATTCATATTAGTTTACGTACGTTTAAAATGTTCAAATTTTTATCGCACAATGATAGAGCAACGGCATTTTCAAACTTGTTTATTTATTGCTCTCCGAATATTCTTAACATTTCCAGTAAGCGTTGCTTCTGGAGAGAGATCATTATCCAGGCTAAAACTACTAAAAAACTGTTCGAGATCGACAATGAATCGGGATAGATTAAATAATTCAGCAATTATGTCGATTGAAAGTGAAGACGCAAGGAAATTAGATTTTCAAATAATTTTAGAAGAATTTACAGAACAAAAACTTAGAAATATGTAAATTCATGTATTCATATTCGGTGATGTAAATTTATATTCAGTAAATGTTTTTGTATTTTGAATATTTTTATTTTTTAATTTCTGTAGAAGTTTACCTATCTGATGATCCATGACATTTGATATATACTATATATATATATATACTGAATTTGAATTTTATTTAAATATTTAATATATAGAGAGGGCCCCGCAAAAAAAAATCCAATCCGGCCCCGCACCTATTCGATCCGGGCCTGGTTATTACTGATAGTTTCTTTTTCTTCTTCTTCTCCTTTTTAGCCCAAAGGGTCCAGAAGGGTTATTAATTTCGTTTTGGCATTTTGCGTTGATTCACTATAAACGGCGGATCCCTTTTTAAATTGTTGCCACCAAATATTAGAGCCCTGTTTTATATTTAAAGAAATTAAATAATGAAGATCTGCATAAATATATGTATGTTTCTCGCATTCTTATAAAACAATGGTACCTAGAGCAATCCGATTTTGAATAACGTACGTCTCCGCCTGAATATGGAAAGCCCAAATTTGGAATTTGTTTTATTATCTATTTAATATTTTGTAAACTTTTATGAGTGTTTGATTAAGAAACTCAACGATTTCAAAGCTTGCCACGGCAACACTGTACTGAAAAAAAATATTTTTCTCGAGCGCGAGACTGTGTATCGGGAATTCTAAAGACATACTCTTTTAAAATTATTTTGTGATATTGCTGTTGAATTGAATTTTATGGTTTAAGTGTGAAGAACATGCTACTTAATAAATAAAAGTAGCACCCAAAACGTTAAGAAAAGCCCTTTCATGTGTAATATAAAATCTGAAAACTTAAGAATTAAAAATTTTTTTTTTATTTATTTATTCACTTATTTTTGCTCCGTTCTATTTCTAGCTACCTGCTGAATAATACCCGATATTTACGCTTCGTGTATAAAAGTGGTCTAAATAAATATCTCAGTTAATATCGTTTACTTTTATTCATCATTTATTTAAAAATCTCTTTCTAGTTACAGATTAAATAATATTTTATATCTAGCCTTGACATTCAAAAATTTGTCTAAAACAAAAACCCAAACTAATAATTTATTTTACTGATCTAATATTATCTGTTTATAGCTGTCGGCTGATAAAGAAATTGTAATACTTTAGTATCAAGACAATGAAGAAAAAAGTCGCGTTCAAATCGTTTAACGCATAACAATTTACTATTGTTTTTTTCAGAGAACTAACTCACAAGCACTGCTCGTATCATGCTAATCAGAACTGCAAGCCTTACAATCAAGAGGCTACTGAAGGAAACGTGTATCCAGTTATAAACTCAAGTAAGTGTATCATGTCAACTCATATGAACCTGTTTACAAAATGAGCTTGCTTTAACCCATATTTGTATATTTGCTTTCACAAACGCATTTCTACATTTTACCATATACAGACATCAGTGCTTGGATATTGCTAAATTTACAGCTAGAAAAATGGTTACTTACTATCTTATATTTTAATAATTAAAGTTGAAAATTTGAGATTTTCAGTATACAAAGTTATTTTTAAAGTAAAATAGGCAAGCCGAGGGAAAAAATGCTTTAAAATTGCTACCACATGACGTTTGGATCTAAACCTACTTGAACACTTGTTATTAGGTATGGCAGTTGATATAATTAGCTGCATTGGTTTACATGTAATAAAGAAAAGGAATGAAGCAAAACAGGGAAATGGAGATTAGTAAATTTATAGCAATATTTAAGTTCAGAAAGCTTTGACAAATTTCTTCTTTTGTTGGAAAAAAAAAACCGTGAACAAATTGCAAAGCATTAAACTTCCTTCATTTTTTTAAAAAAAATTAACTAAATTTTTAACTTGAAACAATTCAATACCAATGTAAAATAGTCTTTATTAATAGTATATTTCAAATAAGTTTATTAATAAATAAGCGTAAGAAGTGTAATATTTCAACATAATTAGAGATTAATATAATATTTTAATAGATATTATTAAACTTAAATTAAATACTTAGATTTTTTAGATGTTATTAGATCATTCATTGTAATATTAGAAATTAATGTAATATTTTATCATAGTTAGAAATGTAATATTTTAATATTTAATCCTAATTTGAGTCATCTTTTGACTAGTTACATTGCAAAAAGATGATGAAATTACGCATGTCTTTAAGTCATACCTCCGTAAAACGTGGAGATTTACAAGGAAAGCAGGCAATCTTAGGAAAATTACACGTGTACATTTATGTTATGTTTATAGAAAAGTTAGATATGGGCGTATATAATCTTATATATGCTCTTATATATGTACATATGTAACTTTTACGTAAATATTTGGAAGTGAATCATTTACTTACAAATGAATTATATCTAAAATCTTTATTACTGTATTATTTAATGCTACTTACTGAAAACATTGTTGGTTCTTTTCTAACTCATAGTTAGCATTCAGGTAATCGAGATTGGAAAACATTAACGTTAATAATTAAAATCCGTGGTTTTTCCAACTCACATGTGGAAGCAAGGGCTGTATATCAAGCGTTTAAAAAAATTGACTTTTGATAAACAACTAGAAAAACCAATTCGACATGAGGCAAATTTTTGAAAAATGGTTTTAGAACGGTTATTTAACATTACGCTTATGCTGACAAAGAATGCGTTTGATTTTCGTTGCCATAGTGAAGATAAAATGTACTACGTATAATGGAAATTTTTATTGCAGATTAAATTATTAAGTAAATATGACAATGTTAGGAACCAAGTTTTTGAAATGCCAGTAGGAAGCACAAGATATTTGAGCCATACCATGCAAAACCGTAAATTTTATAATTAGGGAAACTGTACATTTTATAATAAATTACTCAGAAGTCGTAAATTTTATAATTAAAGAAACATTTATCTGATTTTATGTTGTAAAGGATCATTCTTGTGGAGAACTGAAAGAATTCATTCTCAATTTCTTGAAAGTAAAAGAAATTTCAATTAAAAAGTGTTATGGGAAAGGATATGACTGAGCTTCTGTTATGAGTGATGTCTATAATGTCCTCCAGCAAAAGATAAAAACTATTCAGCCAAATGCAGGGTTTGTACACTGCTCCGATCTCATTACTTAAACCTCGTCATTAATAATTCTGTAAGTGTTTGTAAATATAATAGATTCTTTGGCGTGAACAAAAGCGCGCAAACGATCACTTATTATGTGTTTCATAAATGCATTTATTATTGCGAATGTAACTTGATTAGTATTTCTTGTTCTTTTCAGTTAGTTATGTTTTCTGAGATCCTTTCTGTATTAATAAATTTTGTTTATTTTTAAAATAGTCTTGAATATTTTAAAAACATTAAATGCAAGTCTTTGATTTTATTAAAATGAGTTTTCGATTCATAATTATCTATACTAATATGACATTTAATGTATATATATGTATGTGTGTGTGTAATTTGTGAGTCTGCGGTTTATTTAAGTGCTACCGATGGCATAAGACAGCGGGGTCTATAGAATATAGTCACTAAATGCCAGCCATGGAAGATGCAACTTACTTTAAATTTTGCCTTACGGCCCAAATTCTCTAACCACGCCGCTGTTCTAAAGTCAATATTTTTAGAAACGTGATGGAAGTTTGGTTGTCATGAAAATTTAATGAAAACGTTCTGGCGAAAATAGTTAATACATTATAAATGAACCTCTGTGTAAAGAGTTAGATACAAAGTATTACTTTTAAAGATATGAAAATATTCATTTGCATGTCGCTTGATTACGTACCTTCTTTTAGTTCAGAATGAGAAAAACTTTCAGAATAAAATTTTCTCATTCAGTGCATTTTATTATGTAATGCTGAAAACTTAATGAAAAATAAAGCTTTACTTGTTTTGAGCACAATGCAATACATTAACCTGATTTTTTTAAAAACGTAAAGAAGAAAATTGATTTGGATACACTATGTAGCATATCGTAGAGCACTACGTTTTCGCAGATATTAAACTGAAATTAAATCTGAACTTTTTTAATATGCTAGAGATATTTTTTTATTCGTGGGGACCATTTGGCTAAATATTCCTCCAGATGGGATGAGTAAAATCAAGCAACAATGTCAGCCACTTCATACCGAGTTCTAAGCGGTATTTTTTAGTTTGCGTATTAGATCAAAATTTCTTGAACCTTATTTAATGTAAAGAACTCGTAGAATATTGTTAGCCAAAAATTCTAGATTGATAATCAAAAGGATTATTATTTAATTCTATTGAAGAAAAGAAGGAATATTGCGATATTTTTGTATGGTATGCTGAAATAATTAAAAATCTTTATTTTTAAGAAATTGAATGGCCTGACATATGTTTTAGATCCTCTAAGCCAGAGAAAACTTTTACGAAAACTTCCCAATTAGTTTGAAAGTTGAAAAATAAATATTCTATTAGGCAAAATATTTTCTTCAGCATATTTTTGCTTCTTGAAGAACAGAAGATACATATACCTTAGCTCTTCAGAATATTTAGAATTTTATGTGAAGTTTATATCAGTCTGAAGTTGAATTATATAAATTGAAATAATAATTTCTTTAGCTGCCTTAAAGAAAGAAAAAAAACAGATAATATGATATTTATTAGTTAGTAATTAAAAATATTATTTAGCTAACAAAACATCAAGATGTCTCCCCCCAAAAAAAAAAAAAAAACGTAGAAAGGGAAGTTTGGCGCTTATAAGTTCTCGCCAAATGACAGGAAGTGAAAGAACGTATTGCCAAATATATTCATTTTAAAATATTTTAAGTACCCGAGAGATGTTATTATTTATTTTAATTTTTTTCTTTTACCTAAGAGGGAATATCAAACTTAATAATCTTAAATTTATTATTTTAGGTTCCTAGGAAATGTTACAATATATATTCATTTAAAAATATTTTAAGCACTAAAGCATTAGGCAAAAATGATGCTATCAAATATATTAGTTTTAAAAATTTCAGTACCTAAGAAATGTTAATAAATGTATTAATTTTAAAGCATTTTAGATACCTAAAAGGTAAATGCGTCATAGTAAAACATATAAATGCCTAAATGTTATATTTTGGATCGTTTAGCTGAATCTGATGAATGGAGGTCAACATCGAGTCCTCGCGAGTGGTGGATGAACCAGCATCGCCACGAAACAGATTCACCTGCTTCTTACGATGCAGATGAAGCCTACAGCTCAGAGCACCCGAGCCCTGGGGCAGCCATGGCTGGACTTTTAAAAATTGTTCAGTGGCTGTCGCATAGGAAACGAACGAGAGAATCCATTGGGAAAACCTCAGAGAAACACATCAAGGGAAAATTCGGTCTCAATCTTAATATGGAAGATAAGCAGACAAAGAAGAAGTTAAAAACCCTCATAAAAACTTACCAAAGGTAGTTAAAACATTTTTTAAAATTACATATTAAACTTCGAATATGTGTGAAACAAAAGTTACTTAAGGTTTTATGAAATATCGTTTTTATGAAATAATGATATGTAACGAATCGCATGAGACGTTTGTGTTCTTGCATTTAGTATTTGGGTGATTTTCCAAATTGTAGACGTATTTTCTTATTAAGGTGGCATTTAATACAAACAATGTTATTTTCTTAAAATATTCTTAAAAATTTTCCTTCAAGGCAAATGTATGCAACAAACTACTGTGGGCAATATCAGCAGCAACAAGTTCAACAAAAATACATGCTCAACTCTCAAACACAGCGAGATTCCTACAACCAGCTGGTTCGGCAACGTCTGGCAGCGAAACGCTCTCCAATTGCAAATCATACCAGGACAGACCTCACTTCTCCTCGAAGCAGCCTTTCATCTCCCAGTGATTGTTCCTTCATATCCCCAAACAGTACCCCAGAAATAAAAACGACTCGGTTACGGAGGGATAAATTGGCCAAGCAAGCCTCCATTAAATGGTGAGACCTTTTTTTACTGATGTTGGGGACAATTATTTTGAAGTTTTATAAGCAGTTAAGTTTAAATTGTCATATTTTCTGTTTGGTTCAACCAAGTGTTCTCGTGACAGATGGTGTGACACCAAGTGTTTACGTGGCATGAAACAACCACGTACCTTATTTGCAAGGCACTTGTTTATGGAAATTTGTTATAAGGGCAGATTGCTTTAAATTTAATAACGTATCGTCGAGATATTATCGAATACCTTCTGTGTTATATTTTACTGTTAGTTTTAATATATCAGGAGTAGATAAAAATGTATTACTTAGTTTTAATCTATTTCTTAGTGAAAAACTGAGTAATAGTTTGGACCATAGCTGGCCAGCATCAAAAGAATAGCTTTGCATGAAGTACTGTCAGTCAGGCAGACTTTTAAAAAGAGTGTTAAGTCACTTCTACTGAAGTAACTAACGTAAAATTGCCTTTAGGTTTTGCAGTAAAATCAAAGTACCTATTATATAGTTACAATATTAACCTATTATATAGTTACTTTCTAATAACAGAAAACGAAGCTCTAAGGCAGTGTTCCTACTTCCATAAAAGTAGCACACAGAAACATTATTTAAGATCAAATGTATTAAAATGATAAAATAAAGCCATGTAAATTGCATTTATGTGTAGCTTTCATAAAAGTTTAGAATAAAATAAATCATTTATGTTTCTAAATAGTATTTTCAGTCAGTTGCTTCAGTAATCATGTTTGTTTAATTTATAATTTATTTTAACTACTTCAGGGAGAAGGATGTCAGTAAATATTCCATCTTTGGAAATAACAACTCCACAACTGCTAGCAACCAATCAGAACAACAATCTAACGAAAGATCAAGATTATGCGCTGTATCCCCTAAGCCTTCACTGAGACCAAATGATACTAGCTGGATATCTGGTAACAGGAGCTCTATCTTTAACCATCAGAGGAACGTTCTAGATGGAAAGACTACAACGATGACATTCGCAAGGCCACCATGCCTTTCAAAAGCTAAAACTTTGAGCATCGAAAGTAGAGACACTAAAAACGAAAGTTTGTGCGCAACATGGCCGCCTGCGGGTAAAGCTGGTACTATTCTGGGTAAGTAAAGTAAATGCTAGTAATATGTTATATTTTAAGGTAAATTTTCTTAATATGTTAGTAATATGATATTTAAAGGAAAACCCACTAAAGGTCAGTTTCATTTTTGAAAAATCAGAGACGTTTCAAAATATACCAAATAGTCATGATGAGCGATCATGAAAGCTCCAAGTATCCAGAGGTGTAGTTGTAAGATGCTGTTTGTGGTCGGTGACTTTTCAAGCATTAAGTGAAGTTCACACACAACATTTATTACGATGATAATACACAATACACTATAATACTATATACATTCAAGAGTGGGGCTACAGGATTTTAGCCTTCTCGACGCTTCAAGATATGCGTCTACTCACGATGAGTTAAAAGGCCTAACTAACTCTTTTGACGGGTCAACGCCACCTATAGTATCTCACTTCATAACACATGAGTTTCCTTTCGGAACTGACTTATCTGTAACTATATAATTAAATTTAATCGAAGATTAATCTTCGTGAAAAACTGAGTAATAGTTTGGACTATTACTTACTAGTATGAGATTACTTACTAGTATTACTAGTATGAGATTACTTACTAGTATTACTAGTATGAGACTACTTACTAGTATTACTTACTAGTATGTAACAGTGTACTAGTACTTACTAGTATGTTATGTACTAGTATTACTTACTAGAATGAGAGTACTTATTAGTATTACTTACTACCCTCATGTCCATAAATTAAGGATAATTCGGAGTCACGCGGAAATCAAACTCTAAAATAAATATATCACCTGTAAAATCACTACACACATCTTCAAAAATCATAAGCGAATTTTAAGAAATAACCAGATGATACCGATGGTACGTCACAATGACGAGAGTGTAAGAGAGTGATATATAAGGAATACAGGCAAAGAAGTAAAATTGTTCGCAGGCGCTTTATAAGCATTTCAGTGCAATAACCGAATAGTTATGACACAAAGGACCCATTTGGATGATTTTTTCACGTGGTAGAATTATCGGCCGTCTGGAATGTGGGCGTATCCAACTGGAAGTATCAGACGAACTTGGAATTGCCCAGAGTGTCATCTCCAGGCTTTGGCAACGATTCCAAGATGATGGTAATGTGAGTAGACGTTACAGCACAGGTCGCCCCAGAGTTACAACGCCGAATGAGGACCGGTATTTGGCAGTTACTGCCAAAAGAAACAGGCGGAGCACAGCCTCAGACCTGTCTCGTCAGCTCTCTTCGGCCACTGGTACGACAATTTCAAGGCAGACCGTGTACAGACGCTTAGGGCAGATTGGTCTATATGCTCGTAGACCTGTCAGATGCGTTCCACTTACTGCAACTCACTGTCGCCTGCGGTTAGCCTGGAGTAGAGAGCATGCATTGTGGACACCGCAACAGTGGGCTTGTGTGATGTTTTCCGACGAGTCCAGGTTTAGCCTTGCAGTCTGATTCTCGCCGGACTTTCATATGGAGAGCTCCAGGTACCCGTTACCACCAAGAAAACATCATTGAACGACACCGTTACGGTGGTGCAGGAGTGCTCGTTTGGGGTGGAATTATTCTGGGTTCCAGAACTGACCTGCATGTTCAAATTGGAACCATGACAAGCCAAATCTATCGGGACGTCATTCTGGAACAACATGTACGTTTGTTTCGGGGTGCCATGGGCGCACAATTTGTGTTTATGGATGAAAACGCCCGTCCTCACCGTGCAAACATCGTAAGCGAATGCCTTCAATCGGAGGATATCACCGATATGGACTGGCCATCATTCTCACCGGACTTGATTCCAGTAGAGCACGTGTGGGATATGCTTGGCCGACGAGTTGCAGCCCGTCAACCTCCTCCTACATGTCTACCGGAACTTCGGAGAGCATTGCTTTTTGAGTGGTGTAATATCCCCCAAGATCAGATCGAATAATTTGATACTCAGCATGCCTAGGCGTTGTACGGACTGTATTGCATCGTCTGGGAGACATACAATGTATTAACAATCATACCAACCATGTAATATTGTTTTTTGTAAATAGATTTTTTTTTTTGTAATTTGCTCCAGGGAGAAAAAATCGCTAATTTTTTTAATAATATCAAACATATAGCATCTTTTTTTGCTCTTTACCTTTTGTTTAATAAATAAGCTTTACAAATAAGTCAAATTTGTTTTGCTTCTAACTCTTCCTTTGCCTGATTTTGCATTATCCTTAATTTATGGACATGAGTGTAGTATGAGGTTTTACGATTTCATGTTACACGTTAGAAAAATAATCTAGGTAACACGAAAATACTTTCTGTGAACTAACTGTTTAAAATAGCCTAGGTAATACGAAAGTACTTTCTGTACACTAACTTTTTTGATAGAGTCGGGTCTAGTAAACTTGTCTTTTTAGAATATTTCGATGTTAGGAAATTGAAGAAATCCGCAGTACCCTCGCCGGGATTCGAAATTCGTGCTTCCCTAATACGCGTCGAGCTTACTTCCAGTTACATCAAGAAGGAATGCGGAAAAGAGGGGGAAAATACCTTATAAACTCTTAAGTAAATATTTCGATTACAGATAAGTAGCTGCCGTTCAAATAAACGTATTCATAAAACTATTCGTATCTTACCATATTACAATTTATTATACACTTTTGAAGATCAGGAAACAGGAGTTAAATTATTTTTAAGCATGTTATCGTTAATTCATAAATCCCGACCAAAATTATTTTTTCTTAAAACACACACTGAAAAACTTTTAAGAGACTTAAGTGCAAACATTACTGCGATTTTTGCTAAATTGAAAAAGTCTTTAAACCATTAACGGTGAAAGAAATTTTAGAATCTTATCATAAAGCCCAATAGCCAAACCGACCACTGCGCTTTGTGACGCTTTGATTTGCATTCTTAATGCATAATAATATATTTATTTTTTCGCAGATGACAGGCTTATATTCTAAATGTCTTAATTTTATCCATCTGCACATTTAACTTAAAATTTAACCTGTTAAGAAAATTTCGCTTCCGTTTAAATTATAATTTAGTGTATCTTAACTATTTAAATAAAAAATCTCATATCTTTCTAAAATTGTTGACTTAAAAGCAAAGCTTCCCAAAGTGTAAGTTGTGATTGGGTCGCGAAACATTCTGAAGTATTCTTTTTCTTATATTTATATATAATAAATGTCTGTGGACAGCGATAAATTGCAGCCATTCGTAAATAGATTACAAGTTTAAAAAGTTCTAGAAACATTGCTTTAGAATATAACACAATTTTTTTAATACTAAAATATCGTCTAAATTACTATGATGTGATTATAGCTAAATTGAGAGTGTAAGACTACATATACGCCATTTAAGAATAAAAACAATTTCATTAATAACAAAAAGCCAGATTCTGTGTTTCAGTATTGACTACAACCACTTCTTATCCTAAATTTTATTATAGAATTCGAATTAATTTTTAAACGCTTTCTAATTCCCTCAGTGTGTACATACATATATACTGTCAACTTTTTCTGGGCTGTAAATCAAAATTATGGCGCAACCTTGTAAGATTTTATGCATATTAAAAATTATTGCATTATTTTTCCCTTTAATGTCACTTATTTTCGTCGACTCACGCTAAGATGCAAATTAACTAATGAATTTAAGGACAAAGTTTTTGTGTTTAAGAAAAAGACTCTATTGCTAGGCAGCTATTACTGACAGTTTTTCTACTACATAGGAGAGAGAAATTAAAGAAACGGCTATAAAAACTCATGTAACTTGAACGAGTTTGCAAATAAGAGCAAGGAAACTTGCACAAAATCTTTATATTGTCATGCCTGACATACTTTCAAAATACAGAATTGCTTTTTTTTATAAAAACTAAATTTAAATTAACAAATACGTATACGTGGTTAGAGATGTTGTTACAATGTTTTAGAAGTACACAGAAAAATTTATTAAGGCATGGGGTCTCTCTTGCCCAAAATGCAAGCTTTGCAATGATTTGCCAACATTGTTTATTTTACCAGTTAGGAATTCCTACATTACCAAAACATATTCACGATGAATAACTGCTTAGGCTCAAAGCTCAGCACGACGATGAATAATGCTGAGTAGGAACTGCAGTGATACAAGTCGGCGTCCTGGTACGCTCAACACAACTTCTGTAAGATTTAAATCCAGAGAATATGTGGGCACTCTGTCCACTGGATTCTTTCCTCCCTGAAAATAATCAGCACGTTGGGGACGAGCATTATTGTCCATTAATTGAAATTTATTATCAACTGAAACTTAAAAAACTTGACATAAGGTTCAGAAAGCCTCATCTCTGCATATTTCAACATTCATAGTAGCACTGCTACAAATATGTAGATCAAAGAGAACATTCAAAATAATGCCCGCTCACATCTTGCTTCAACCATCTTCGCTTCGATGACAGCCAAGGACAATTTCTGTCTTTTTGCGTGTGTTTTACTCCCTGCAGAAGTCACGTCTGAATTAACACTTCAAAAATTCGGTGGTGCTTATGGTATTGCAATCCCGATGATCTCTGTACTGCAGAAACCGGGCACATTTTGCAGCCAGAGTTAGTGGGATACAAATGAGATTGATTGCATACAACCCTCTTCCCTACAGCCTGTCATTTACGGTATATCTGGAAATTCGAGTTACTATAGTTGGAATGAAATCCATCGGAATCAGGGCTGACATCAGTTGTGTATCGTTTATCAAAGTTGCTGCCAAATAACAGTCTTTGGAGTATATTACGGTACGTTTTCCCCCTTCACCTTAACTTAGTTATCTGCATACATCAACATTGTTTTCAAACCGTTTCCGTATTTTTTGCATGCTGCACTTGACTATTTTTAAGCTTCTACAGACCTTTGTCAGTGTCTGTCCGGCTTCCGTTCTCCCAGTTCCACGCCATTTCTCATAATTCATTTTCGACATCTGAAACATTTGCCTTGCTCGTCGTACAATTCTTTAAATTATAATTTGAAGCATTCTCTTGCGATTTACACTGGACTATGTAACAACTTTGATCATGAACTACCAACCCACTGCCTTTCAGAAGGTTTCACTTTATAGAATTCACACAAGTAATTTTGAAAATTCCTTTAATTTTTCTGCGAATGTATTTCACACAGTATCTGAATAATTTGGAACTGGCTTTAGGTTTGCTAGTTATAAATGCTTGCTTTAACACAGGGTTTGAGTCAAAACTTGTCGGTTTGTTATGTATTATAAATTTCACATTTTAATTCTGAAAATTTTATTTTAAGTTTTGTTTCGATTACATAAACTGCTGAATCTAATTCCTATTATTACATAGTAGCATAATGGTAAAGTGAAAAAGTAATAAAAAGATTTATTTTAAACATTTTTTTTTGTACTGGAACTATGTTACTGAGAAATTAAATTTAGACGATAAGATCACAGAGCCAGAGATTAATATTGAAAGTAATTATGTTCTGCACAGTCTTTTATTTGAACTGCGCAATTAAAAGGTTATAAATGGGCAAATAGCATTTTTTCTAGTGTTACGTCAGTTATTGAAAGCAACTACAAACGAAAAATTAGCCTTAACTGTTGTTTTCAGCCTTTGCTAGAGCAAAAGTCAATTCCGAATATTAGTGTAATTTATTTCTCTTAAAATGTAATTCCAATTAAATGCATTTAAATGAAAACAGAGTCAAACAGAGTAACAGTATACCTCCATACTTTCTCAAGTCAATAATAAACTTATTTATGAAAAAATATTTAAGAAAATAATAATGCTTTCATAGCACCAAAAATTTAATTTACATCTGTAAGAATAAAATAAAAAAATAGATGTGATAGCTAAAAGTTCACTAAAGAGTTAACTAAGAATTCATTAATATTCACATATTCACATTAATATTTCAATGCGTACTGATAAGAATAACTGTTTCTGCAGAGGAACTTGTTGATGAAACTGAAACCGATTGCATCGAAGAAGCAGATGAAAGTTTTACACTCAGGTATGTAATTATCCTTATTGTCATTAACAAATCAATATGAAGGCTTCAAAAGCCACAAATTCAAATTTTTCACTTGCAGTAATTGTGTAAAGAATTGTAAAAATCATTTTGACAAATTTCATCAAATTTATTTCAATTACTAAAGTACAAGATGATCCAGAAGTTGGTAAAGATTTAAAAAAACTTATGTTTTTGTCAGTATACAAATTGGGGTAATTCAATCAATGTAGAAATAAGTAACACTAATAAATTTACTTTTTAAAATTTCATTAAAAGAGTTGTAATAAACTATACTAAGAAGAAAAAAAAAGAAACTAAAGATTCGACATACTGTTTTTATCTGATAATTATTTTTTTGGTAGGTTCTGATAATACATTCAGTACTTTAACGAGAAAAGACCAACTGAAATATGGCAGCTTTGCCATATTTCAGTCAAACGACCAATGACTGCTGCAAGAATGAAGAAAGTAATTGGATAAAACTGATTCTTTGGAAAAATCTTTCATGAAACTGATTATTTCATTATGCAATTGCTAGATAATGGTGCTCATTGTGGTCATCATCAAATAATGAGCACTATTATCTAGCAATAGATAATGGCGCTCATTGTTTTAAACAAATAGAATAAAATATGTTTATATTCTAAACAAATAGAATAGAATATGTTCATATTCTAAACAAATAGACTAGAGAGCAAATATCTGCTCTCTGTTTTATTTATTTGTTGTCCATTTCTGTTCTCCATTTTGTTCTACTCATGTTTCAGTTCAACCCCCTACTAATGGACATAATTTTAATTAAACAATGATTGTAATAAACTGTTCTACTTTCTCCAAGAAAAACATGAATTTGTGCGTCTCTAAATTGATTACATCACTGTACAACGCAAATCCAAAGAAAGATTTTTAAATGCTTGCTGACTTTTGGATAATTATTAGAAAAAATAGAAATCAAGTAGTATCAAGTAGAAGCTGTAAAATTAAAAATATTCAGCAATTCTACATAATTATACACAAGGTTTATCAAAAAAAGTAATCTGCTTTCACGGTATTACTCTTTACTCCAATTAAAAGTCATTACCATGCATAGTCTATCAAAAATAATAGGTTTAGTGCTTATCGAAGTTATGACCAATTACTTATTCCAAAGATTTAATACAATATAAACATTTGTAAAACTATAATTTAAATGCTTGAACAAGCTTATTTGCTCTTTATTATTCTATATTTGATTATACTTGCTTAACGTCTTATAACTAGATTTAAATGAATTTTCAGAAAATATAACAGATGCCTCAAAATTTTTGTTTCAATTTGTTTTTGGCAGTGACTTCCGGAGTGACTCTCAAAGCGGCGAGGAATCTCTTCGAGAATGGTATATTCCTTTCGGTGATATAGAATTCAAAGAAAGGATACGACATGGTCGGCAAGGTGATATTTACAAGTAAGTCTGAATTCATTTCAATTAAGCACGATGATAATAATGAAAATGCTTTAATTTATTTTTCATGGTACCTTTTGCTTCTGTACTAAGTACATTTTCCTCTTCCTTACATACCTCTTTGCAAGACAGGAAAGTGACACTCAGTATTCTGACATACTCTTTTCTTAAGTACTCTGTTCTACTACAGTGTATTCAAATATCAATGTCAAGTTTTCACTCCATCAGTTTTGCTAAGTAGGAAATCAAATATGAATTAGAAATTACAGTTAAGATGAACATAATATTCTGGCAAATTTTATGCGCAGAAATTTGTCAGCATTATAAACAGAACATGGAAATTATTATAATATGAAGAGAAAATGTTCACGCTGAACATTCTATTTAGTGAGGTCAAGCCAAAGATATGAGTTTAATGACCTGCCTTCAGCTTTTACTGCGGCAGAATACGTAATATCTTGATTATCTAAAACCATAGTTCATCTGGATAACTGATTTCTTTTCGTTTTTTATTTACATTGTATCGGATAATTAATTTCCCTTTTCTGTACTCAAAATACGTATTTATTGTAACACAACTGAAGGAATTTTATTGTTTCCTATATCATGTGTTATTTTAGTAAGAATTATCGCTTAACATAATAAATCAATTTTATTCCAGAAGGAAAAAAAAAGATTTTTGACAAAATAAAACATTGAAACTGTTTTAAAATATCTTGAAGAAAACCTCTTCGAGCTATTTATTGTTTTGAATTCATGGATTTCATGTCATGATAAAATTTAAAAAACACTGCCAATTTAGAAAAGTATTTTTTTGCAAGCCCCGGAGAGTTTAATGATAATTAAGTGTTGTCTTCAAAGTTTTAATATAAAATCTGTATTTTTCATTCAGATAGCAATTCTTAAATTTAATAAAAATTTTTGAGAAATTCTTAATTTTGTTCCATGAAACCACAGGTTTTCTAGGAATAAATTATTTGAGTTGATAGGCGCTAAACACTCATAAATATAGTGGTCTATAAATTATTCAATTTTCATTCATGTAGAGGTTAAACTGAAGCATAGAGTCGTGTTTTTATTTTTATTTAGAAGATTAAATAAAAACAAGTATTTTCTTCTAAGTAAAATAAAATGCGTAATTTATTTTTATTCATCTACATTATTCTTCAGCGGTAAATTATAAAACCATGAAATTAATATTGAAACGCTTATTATTAAATTTTGCTGAGATGGTTTGCAATAAATTTATGATTTTTTTTGGTATCTTTATAGTGGAATCGTCTTAGCAACTACAAGCGTTTTATTTTATGTTCACTAAAGACGGGACGAATCCTAAATCTCGAATTCCGCTTCCAATCTTTCGAACCATATGTATAAGAATAAAAAAAGGATTAAAAGAGAGACTAGTTTTACTTATTCTGTACGTAACAAAAACACTTCAACTTAAAACTTAATACTAGGAAAAAATTTAAAACTATGAAAAAAAAAAACTGTTTTAGATGAATGCAGATTTTGAATAAAACTCTTTCGAAAGTGTGATCTGATATAATTCTCTTTTGTTCAATAACAATTAATATTTTGCGAGCGTAGGAAAAATTTGGGAGGGAGAGTAACCATATTTGTAGGTAAAGGGAATAAACAAACTTAGCTGCCATATGTTGAGAAGAACAGTAAACCTGAAAAGGCTAACCTATGAGAATTTCCACAGAGTTGAAACGAACTGGGTTGAAATTAATATTATTAGTCAAAGAAGGTAAATTTTTGTGAATGTGCTAGGCTTCAAAGAATGATGAATTGGATTTTCTTGAAGCCCTTTGCTTTTCATAAATGCCGAGCTGGACGTTTTTCATTATCTAGGACAATTTAGTACTGAATGGGGATAAAGCTGAAGGTAAAGGGACGTGATTTGTTATTACATGTTGCGTAATGTAATATTAGGGAGAAAATAAGTGCACTTCATTTATTAAGGGAATCACTTTTCTTAAATTTTACCTCTCATTTTTCAGAGGTCGATGGTATGGTGAAGTGCTAATTTATACGATTCGAGAGTCATGTGATAGAGAGCTTAATCAGTTCCTGGATGAAGTGGCTCAGATGGGAATGATAAGACACGAAAATATTGTTCTTTTTATGGGAGCATGTATCGAACCCCAAAGGCTGGCCGTTATCACTAGGTAAGTAACTTAGAAACACCTTTTTGTAATCTAATACTGCATTAAAAGCTTGGAAAAGAATTTAAAATTATTTAACTTTGGAATATATATTATACGGAGATAAATATAATATTTAAACAAAGTCTTTTAGATTAATTAGAATATCGTAAATTATTAATTGGTTGTTTCCTTCATTTCACTTAATCTTCATGATTCTTAAGACAAACTCCGTCACATACTATTTTATCTTTATATCACTTTATAAAATTAGGTCCAGTTATCTATGTAATCGCAACTATTTAATCTTTCCTTGCTCTGTTATTGTCTTTGCAGAGAAACAGAAGTACAACTAAGTTTCAATTATACAGATAAGAGTTAAAATGAAACTAAACTGTTTATTAAACCTATATAATCAATTAACATTTAACTAATACTAGCTATCTTTACATGCAGATTTCATATATTTAAATAAGTCATATATTTAAACTCATTTATTTAAATAAGTACAACACGCAAGGTAACTTTAAATAAATTAATAACTCGGCTCCAACTAACAGGAACTTTAACTATGTACATTAAGAAATTTAAATTTCTCTCATCAAATTCATAGGTCGGCTGGGTAAGAAGATTATTGTTTTAGGCTAATATGCTATAATGGATGGTTACCACAATATCCTCTCTAAACTGCAAATCTACTCACTATTTATCACTCTATATTATTAAATAAATCTACTATTATTTAAACTAATTTAAATTTTAATGAAAGCTGACGGAAGAAATACGTAGTGCAGAAAAGAATTAATAGAAATAAAATATCAGCTAAAATAAACCTTATTACTTAGCAATATATAAAGAGACTTTATATATTGCTAAGTAATAGAAATTTCAATGTACTGTAAATTAACAGCTGTCCTTCTTTGAATCAACACAAGAAAGTTTCACCGGTAACTACTAAATTAAGTGTTAACATGAAAATATTTCAAGTAATTTCAAGTAAAAAATCAATTAAACTTAAAGTTATTATTTTAAAATTAGTTAAGACAATTAATTTTAAAGAAATGTTCTTTAGAATTTTAGAGAATCTGAGACAGATATTCAGGCTTCTTGTCCAGAGCTATATAAACTGAAAACCAAATGAAAGATAATTTGAAAAGAAAGGGAAGTTATATTAATGATTTCTGCTTAGATTCCAGCTTTTTAGTAGTAGATAAGTTAGAATGTATTCATATCATCTAATGGAGTGAAAGAAATTATCCGTAAAATTAATTAAATGTGATTTACTTTAACTACTTCTTTTCAAATGTCTTGGCACTTGCTCATTAAGTAGTTACGGTTATAGCCAAAGCCATCGCTCATTTAATTACCTTATCGCTGCGAATGTTACCCAGAATGCACTACAAGGGGACAAATATTACATGCACAAAGAGAGGGAAAGGAAGATAACACAACTACAAACATTCCTTCAAGTGGGTAACAAATAACTTTGGCTTTCGGGTGAGCATTCAGCCTGCATTAAACAGCACATCGTCACGAACGATTTATAGTGAGTTTTATAGACAGATTCAAATTTACGCATTTTCCTCAAAACTTTTCTGTGGGTGCGAGTGATTATTACCTATTATGTCTGTCAACTATTCTGTCTGAAATTTCCAGTCCTTTTAGTTGAAATATCAAATGTGATTAAAAATTACTGGAAGGTTGTTCAAATATTAATCAAGGAAACGGATTATGGTAAGAAAACTGTACTTTGAAAGGACATTAAAATGTTTTTTCATGTTTTAGAGACTTTATATCTTAGCATGTTATATTTGAAATAGTATGATGCATACGATTTCAGTGTAAGACTTATGGACAGAGTTTAAATTTGTTGTTTTGCTTCAAATGACGGATTTCTGTTTCTATTTCAGTATGAGGAAAGGTCCAACGTTGTTTGAATATCTGCATCTTAAACGACATAAATTACCCTTTCACTCCAAGCATAACATAGCTCGTCAGATTGCTCAGGTAAGTTCGTTTCAAAAATGTAACTCATAGTAAAATTTATCAATAGCCTTTTCTTGATTCGTCACCTTTATTTTATCAAAACTAAATTTATTTATCAAAACTAATATGCTATAATGGATGGTTATCACAATATCCCCTCTAAGCTGCAAATCTACTAGCTATTCGTATTTAAACTAATTTTAATTTTAATGAAGGCTGACCGAAAAAATACATAGTTATCCTACCTGCGTTATACCTGCGTTATTTAATGCATTTTTTTCTCATTGGCTACTAATGCTGTTATTAGATTTACTACAGGATAAATTAAAACCGTTAAACGGTAGAAAAATGAACATTACTTCTATGGAAATATTATTTTTACTTATCTAAGTGAAAAATATACAACTGTTAAAAAATGCGTTTCGTAAACTATACTAAAACAAGAAATTTATAATACTTACTTATAACAGAAAATTGACACTCATTCAAAGTCGACAGAATATACATGACTCCGTTTCAATTTGATGCTATTTCACTTACGTAAATCTTAAAAATCTATATCTAGAGTAAATATTCAGACTCTAGGTAAACATATTCTATGAGTTTAACATTTTTTGTTCTAGACAACATAGATTAACATTTAGACAAAGAGGGCTTCGAAATGTTTAATCTGGATATATTTTGGCGAACATTCTTATTTCGCAGTTCTTTTGCAAAATGTCCTTCTTCGTCGTCCAAGTTGGTTTTAGTCTATAACGAATTGCCTTCGTGCGTGCTATTGGGACATAAGTGATAAGCATGTTTAGCTAGTGAGCTGAAAAATTTTGATTGAATTCCAGAGAGGACTCAGTTGGTTTTTTACATTTCATACTGCGGAGAACTCAAGAATCTTTACAAATTTTTATAACAGGTACCCGTTCATTAGTGCTAAAGCTTGCACTTCTCCTATCATTAAAAATTTTAAATACCTGCTAATGTGCCCTCAAAATGTATGTTATTGGCAAATAGGGTTGGCAAATGAGACGAAAACAGAAACAGACAGACTCTCGGCAAGTGCAGGAAAATTAAACGCGGTCAGATTGTAGAGTTCTTCACTCTTATACCACTAAAGTAGATGTCGAGGAACCTAGTGAACTGTTAAGAGACTTATCGCTGAGTTCAAATAACAAATGTAGACTCACGAAGGATTAAAGATGAACAGTTGGCCCTTTTTTGGGGCTTACAATAAAGCCTTCACTCGGCCTTGAATTCAAAATAAGAAATAAGAACTAAATTAGAACTAAGTAGAAGAGACTTAGCCGAAGCTAACACAAATCCTATAGTTAGCCCTGAATTTAAACTAGCCAGTGAATAAGACAAGGCACGTAATATACGGCCGAGCGTAACAGCTTCTAGAGAGACTTCGCTCAAAGGCAAACATGCGTTACTCAGGATTCCTAGCTCTCTCTCTCTGGAAGTAAGTTGAATCTCCTTTAAATGCTAATTCTAACTCATTTGCGTTCGATGTGATTGTAAAAACTCATTCTGGTAGGGAGTTGTAAGTTGAAACAAGAATCGATAGGAAAGTACATTAAAATTAAAATAACTGATATAAAATTAAAATATACCTTACAAGATGAGGGGCATTTATAAGTTGTAACCTTAGAAATGAAATGTGAGGAGGCCACAAGCATTCGTTTGACTCAATATCAGAGCTTTTACTATGTCTCTTTTATAAATAAAGGAATAGAATGGCAGAAATGTAGAAAAGCGTTTGTTCTTCTTGACTAATGATGTGACAATCATCATCTTCCTCTGACATCATCATTTGTCAAGCAAAAAGGAAAATATCTGTTTGATGAATGGAGCTGGAGATGATAATTCTAATGATTTTACCACTAGTAGAAGATTGTTTTCGTATACTAGTAATTACTAGAACATGATAAGCAACTTCTAATATTTTTACGATAACTATTTAAAGATGATTTATGAGAAATTATTATCAGGACAGAAGGACAGGACAGACTTATTTTATACGCTTTGAAACAATATACATTCGTTTTTTAAAACAACCTTAAGTATTGAACAAATTTCAATTCTCAAGGGTAAAATGAAATATTTTTAAAGCATATTAAATTACTGAAAATTTTAGGGAACTGAATAATTTTGCTTCATTTTATCGAAGAAATTTCAAGACTTATTTTAAGATAGCTTAAATCACATTTAAAAGTAAATTAAGGTGAAAAAAGATTAATTAAATTAATTTGCTTTAATTCATTTTTTCATCTTAATTCATTCAGTAAATTTGATTTAAATTATCTGCTGAAAAGTGCTCTCTCTTTCAATTTCGGTTTTACCTGAATAACAAACTAATATTTGCTAGTTAACCTCACCAGCTAGTTGCACTCAAAAGGCTACACTATAATTTGAAACAATTTTCACGAATTTATAAGTCAATTACAATTTCATTTATATAAGATAACGTTTCAGGCTTTTAGAGATGATAAATTATTGATTCATTCGATGAGTTTTTTTGAGACTTTTTTTTTTTCCCTTCCCTCCATCCCAAGACTGATCTGAAGAATATTTTTTCCTATTCAATATTTAACTATATTTTGCCACTGCTGTTTACAAGTTAATGACAAAAAAATACTAATTCTGAATTTATATCGAGTGTTATAATATTTCAAGCATTTCAATATTTTTTATGTAAAAAGCTAGTTATCAAAAATACTCAAAAGAATTTGCACGTATACTATATATATCGACTTACAAATTTTGTATGTGCAATGCGCAAAATATTTAAAAAATATTCATCTAAGTTCTCATTAATTGACCGACATAAGCAAATATTATCATTGTTTTATCGCTTAGGATAATAATTTCTATTCTTCCTGATTACGTATCGCAAATTATTTCTGAAAATTTATTATCAAGAAAGATGAAATCGAAACATTTTTCTGCAGCTTTCAAGACAATAATTTTTCTCTTTATCATATAAACGTTGTTAGTTAAAGTAAGAGTATTAAACGAGTTTAAGAACGCTACGCTAAATATTGTGTCAAAAATTAATTTTGGGCGCAGAAAATAAGGAGATATTTCACAAAACAGGTGTAACATAAAATAAGACACAGTCACTGTAAAAGGAAGCTAAACTTTCTGTAAACTAAGTTTGCTGTAAAAGTTTAATCCGCTTTAGATACTGCTTCATTTAAACATTTATTTTGCTTCGTAATATACACATAAAGTACCGTTTGAGTTCTTACATGTATCGCTTTATTCATCAGGAATATAAGTAAAATTTCTTTCGTGCAGAGTTAAAAACGTAAGATTTTAATATGTTTCTATTATTTTCATTAGCATACATCATGTGTATTACAAGAGCAACGTGTGTTATAATTTTCTGCATTATACTTTTTCTTCAAAAATAACATAGCTTAAGATCTATCAAATTTACATGAAGAATTCTTGCTTTCCCTAGGGTATGGGCTATCTTCATGCCAAAGACATAGTTCATAGAAAATTAAATTCAAAGAACATCATTCTCGAATGTCGAGTAAAGTTGTGTATTATGGATCATGGAATGGCAGATAAACAGCTGGACCGGTAAAGTATAATTTTATTGTTTTTAACAGAAAAAAATGGAAGAAGTTAGAAATGATTTAACTTTTATATCACCTACAAAAGTGAATGTAAAATTTTAATGCTGCCCAAAGATTTACTCTACGTGCACCAAATATTTACTCTGAGTTGCAAACCAGAGTCTGATTTAAAACTTTTGCATAAAAGAAGATATTAGTAGGTTTATGAACAGCGCAAAAATTTCAAATAATGATGTATTTGAATCACGCATAAGTCATAAAATATATGAAATTAAAAAGTTACGGATGGTAATTTAAATCTCCGAGATATTAAGTGTTAAATTTCTAGTAATTTATATGCACTGTATTTATTACTATTATAATTTAATACTTTATCTTCTAAGCAGTTTAAAATTAAATTGATTATATAAACTGCGAATATCCAGTTTGACATATTTTGATGTTTAAAAAATTAAATAATATTTTTGAAAACTGATGATTTCAATTGAATCATCTGCTTCTGGAACAAATGAGGAAAAAATATATTTTACTGAACAGATATATAGCTAGCAAATCTAAGAAGGAAATGTTATGCAGAATATTCTCAATAGTGATTTCCAAATATATGAACTCATATTTAAAAATAACGAATAGATAAATAATATGTGCATAAAAACAGAGAAATCTGGTAATCCTCGCGTATACTGAATAATGTACTTATGCCTGAAGCGGTAACAATTGTTAGCATAGTAAAAAGTACAGCAGTTCAAACACTCCAAAATTATTTTAAGAATAGTCATTACGAAAATATAACGCCTTATATTTCCTTATCTTGCACCTTAAGTTTAAGCAAAACTATTTGAAAATATGAGTTTCAAATGCAATCTTTTCTTCTAATGGAGTTAATAGTCTATAAACTTTATTTATAAACATGCATATTATTTTGTTTACCTCAATAATATAGTGAAAAAGCACATATCTTTTCTCTTGAACTGTATCATACCCAAGCCAGTATAAATATGTTAATTATTTAATACTTTCCATTCTATAAGTCATATTATAAGTCTGACTAGTGATTTTGAAATATACGAATACAAATTAAAAAATAACATAGATAAATAATCTGTGCATAAGCAGAGGAATTTGAGAAGCTTTATGAATATTGAGTAGTATATTGATTTTTGTAGTATAGAATTTCCTTCCAATATTATTTTAGAATGGCTATTTGTAAGGTTTTAAGTTATTTAGAAGTTTAAATCAGTGCCTCTTAGACTTTACTAGGCAGACAGGCCAGTTATTGTTCCATTCTGAATTAAAAAGACAGAGTCTTCAGAATGTTAAAGTAACCTTTCTATTAACTCTTAAAATTTAACAGAAGGCACCATTTATACCTTCATTACGTTGAAATGAACGTTTACGTTGAAAGTCAAGAACGAAAACGCGTCGTACATATAACATTTAATTAGTTCATACTATAAATCACATCGAAGTGTGGTCTTCAAAGTGTGAGTCTCGCTACAGCTTTTGGAAAACTCTCATATACGTTTTAGAGTACCCTATCGCTTCTTTTGTAGTTTACCTGTAACACAATTATTGGCAATTGATTAAGAAATAAAAGTACCCAGTCGTACCTCCGCATGCGGAGGTTCATGTCGTCAGTGTAAAAATAAATTATGCTTTGCGTTTTATTAAGTTGTAAAATTTAAGATGCAAACAAAACGGTAACATTTCCTAGCATAGTAAAATGTATGACAGTTCAAAAAAGTATTAATTTAGAAGTCAAACAACGAAAATCAGCGTTATATTTTCAAAATTTCACAGGACTAGATTTGCTGGTTTTACTGAACCATCATCCTCAGCTGCAAAAGCGCAAGCGAATGAGATAAGATAGAGTGATTAGATAAGAAAGACTGGACAGAAATTAAGCTACTGGCGCCATCTGTTTAGCTTAACTCCTGTCCAGTCTTTCTTATTTTACCTGATCACTGTATCTTATATCGTTCATTTCTGCTTTTGCAGCTGAGGATGATGGTTCGGTAAAACCATCGAAACTAGTTCGGTAAAACCGTGGAAACTCCTGTGAAAATTTGCAAATACTGATTTTTGTTGTTTGACTTCTAAATTAATAAGTGCTTGACGTATTATTGTATCTTAGTTCAAACAAGCTCAATATTCCAAACAATATATTCAAATCAATACTCAAAACCAAATATTAACAATTCAAATACTCTTAGTGCTGTGCTTCCTTACATTGGCGCGGTTGTTTGATGCCGATGTAGCTAAATATGGAAAAGGGAAATGATCACTGGGAAATCCCATTGTGCATTTGCCAGTTATATGAGATTTCAACTGTGAATACGCTCCCCTCCCAACTCAATGGTCGTAACTATGTTGGCAGGGAATCTTAGGTTTCAGTAATCTTAGTAATCTTAGTTTTCATACCAATACATTTTCTTAAAATTGCAATCTCAATTCTAGCATTCACGTTATTCTCAATAGATTGTGTTGTCGCGACTTTAAAATAATGTTTAATTGTTCATTAGTAACGTATTATTGTTACTTTAAAGTTCTAGTTAACGAATAAAGGCTCCAAGACACACGTAAAACTTAAATAATTCTTATTTCGCCTATTCTTCTAAACAATAACATTCTTCTGTGCCGTAATTGCTTTTCTTCATATCTTGATTGTCTTTTGCAGATTAAATTACAATATCAGAATTGCTTACCTTCGTAATTCTAAAGAGAATTTCTAATGTACAATATAGTTTACATTATTTTGCTTAGTAGTACACCCACATAGCACAAAAACATCCTTGGGATATCCCGAGGATGTTGCTCGCGGGATATGCGCACATCCTCAGGACATCCCGGAATATCCCGCGAACCTCCTAAACACCTCCTCCCGAGTGCTTAATGTCACATCCCGGGATATCCTCAGGACATCCTAACTAAGTCCCATTGACAGCGTACGGGATGTTATTAGGATATGAACTCCTACTTACTACATCCTCAGGACATCCAAGGATATCCCACTAACCTCCTAAACACATCCCATTATATCCTAAAAACATCCTATCTATGTCCCATCGACAGCGTATATGGGATGTTATTAGGATTTAAAGTCCTACTTACTACATCCTCAGGACATCCCGTAATAACCCAGTTTCCTCCTAAAACTCATCCTCCCTAGTGCTTAATGTCACATCCCAGTATATCCTTAGGACATCCTATCTAGGTCCCACCGACAGCGTATGGGATGTTATCAGGATTTGAAAATACTAGTTACAATATCCCTTTAACCTCTTAAATACATACTCTCAACTGCTTAATGTTACATCCCAGTATATCCCCAGAAATCTTCTTTATATTCCAGTGAAAGTGTGTGAAGGTGTTGTGATAACCTGAAACTTGCTTATTTTCCACAGACATTCTCAGGTCTTTCATCTGTGGTTACTATGGAAAAAAAAGAAATGTTAAGAATATTTATACAATTTATTTTCTAATTTGAATTTCAATTTATTTAATAATTTGTAAATATATCTGAAACTGAGCAAGAGACTTGAAATGAATTATTAATACAAAATATTATAAGAGAAAATTTTGCTTTAAAGTATTAAAAATCTTTCGATCATTTTTTAACCATTCAATAGCCCAAAACTGAATTCTTCGATATATTCATAATTAAATTATTCTACAAATTCAGTTCTGACTTCAGTTAATTTGTATTCAAAATTCAATAATAAAATTAAGCATTTAATAACCTTTAAGTAGTGGACCAGATGTGTGTAAATTTTGAAATTCTGAACTTAAGTCGGTTATGTTAATTGAATCATTATTCATGGCTACAATATGATTAAACAGTTCATGAGTTCGTCTTGCTATTTGCTGTAATGGAGCGGAAGATTTTCTAATCAAATTTTTTTATAGAAGATATATAGCTTTCAAATTTAAATGCACTGTAATTATCTAACGGCCCAAACATTTTTACATCTTCGCAAATGCAGTGCAGTAGGCCGTGAACATTATGAGCAATATACTGTTTTTCATAATAAAGCCCAAAATTTACTACGAAGAGTTTTAATAGAGACTGTGCGTATTCATCAATTGCCGTCTGATTCTGTATTTTGCATAAGAGTCTAATCGAAATATGAAGTAGTAAAAAATGATCATGTAGCTTTTTGTTAAATTGAAAAAAAAAATAAATAAAATAATAATAATAATAATAATAAGTGGGCTAGTGTACAGTAAAAATTGACGGTATTCTGTAGCTTTCCAGTGTTTCAATCCTTTTAGAGTTGGTTCCTTGGTTTTCTTGCAAATTCAATTGGTACATAAGGCTTTAAAAACTGGTCATTCAAAAAAAAAAAAAAAAAAAAAAAATTAGTTCAACATTTTTATGTGGTAATCGTGCTTGTGACTCCGCCTTGTAAGGTGCCTCCGCCTTTTTGTACTACTCCTAAGCACACAAGGGACATAAAGTCTAACGGAATATTTATTAGTCCTATATTTGGAATATTCCTTAAAATGGGATAATCGTTTTGGTAATCGTCATCAGTCAGTTCTTCTTGAGACATAAAAGTTCATATTCCGAATCACAGTTTGAAATGGAACTTAAAGAATATTTGCTAGCGCGAAAATTCGACACAGTCCTTTTTCATAATTAAATGCTACTTCATCTTCTGACGAATCCAACAATATATATGTTGATTTATTTTCCTATAAATCCGTCTTTTAGATATCTGAGATAATTTTTTTTTTAGTTCTGATCATTTTTGTAGAATAAAGGAAAAATTTTGAAACTTACTTTTCACACTCTCTCAATGTAACGCTTGCAAGCGTCAGCAAGTCAGTTCGTAACTGAAACAGAATTTGGAACGACGGCTATTAACGTTTAGCAGAATAGCTGAATTCTGGAAATCAGAAAGTAAGTACGTGTACTTTCCACTTTGTGGGGTTCTTCAAGGATATCACTATTACGGAGCAATTAAAACCGTTGGGGGCATTCTGCGTCCTTTGTTGTGAAGGGATGTTTCCCTTGTAGGGGGATACAAAAGAAGGGAAGGTCTGACACATAAATCTGCCACGTTAACAAAAGAGAAATCTTCTTGGGGCATCGGCTACAGAAAAAGTGCTCAGAGGTGTGTTACATTCTGAGCGGAGCTCGGTTTTTCGAAAGCAAAGAAAATTTGAGAAGAGAAGCAGTTTTACGACAAATGATAATGATGATCAAAACTTTAAGATTTTCAACTTCAATTGTTATTTATAGTATAAAATAAAGTAATAAAACTGCTGAGTTTAAAGAACGCGTTTTAATTTAAAAATTAAATCATTTTAATTTAAAGTTTGAACATCTATTTAATCCGTTATCTAATTTTGAGTTTTTCATAACAACATTTAACTTTGTGTTATATACCTTGAAGAAACGTGTTTACTGCATTTCTGGATGTTACAAATAAATTAATAAAGCAGCAATTATTGTTAAATTATGAGGAGTCATGTAGCATTGTCGGCATAACGTATAAGACTGCAGAGCGCTGGATAATATTTTTTTCGCGCTTTGTTTAGCAAAGACCGAATATTTGTATGGTTAAAGAGGTAGCAAAGTGAGGTTTGAGGAGAGTAAGAACTTAATGTTAGTTCTTCCCATTCTCAAACCTTATTTTCCTATTACAGAGAGGTAAAAAATAAGTTACTTCTTACCTCAGTCGCTTTGAAAAACTAATTCTCATTATTAAAGAACTTACCAGAAAATGAACGAAGAAACTGCAATGAATTTTTTAGCCCAATAAAATTATTCTTCTGTTTATAAATTCAAATTAAAGCAAGTTAAACCTCGTACAGACTAGTTTTTAACTGCGTCTGTAAGTCTGTAACTGCGTCTGTAAGTTACAGACTAGTTTTTAACTGCGTCTGTAAACTAAAATTTCGTTTGTTTAAAAAAAATATTGTTACTTATTACTGCACAGCACTAAACATCATTCATTACTAATATAATAGTGTAACAGATCAAAAAGTATTTTTTTTTCTTTTGCAGTTTCAAAGTATAGTTATTTCTATGCTAAGAACTATCGATGAATTTAATAGAATACTTTTATAACTTGATATTTCTGATTAGTGCCTCAGAGACGGGTAAGTGATTATATTGACCGATTGCCGAACAGAAGGGCTCAAGTTCGAATGCCAGATAAGGCATGGATGCACATCATGCCCATCTGTTCATAGGATAAATGTCTTCGTAAAAGATTTTCTGAGTTAACCTGTAACGTACATAATATTTGTGTTCAAAGATATTAGAAAAGTATCTAAAATAATGTTTACAAAATATATTATGTAGCAATTAGAATTTAATCGTAAACACACTTTCAATATGAAACTCAAAAACGGATGAAAACACGTGCCTATAACTTGTAAGAAAGTTCTCTGATCAATAGGCACTGTGAAACAACAACAAAAATTTGAAAATATTATTACTTAATATTTACAGCCAACATATGACGAAATCCAGTGTAAGCATAACAATTAAATTTTCATATGCACAATAGGTAATCCACAGAGTAAGATTTCGATTCTTATAACATGACTTGCGTGTGGTACAAGGTTACTTTAAATATTTTCAGATATGAGCTTCCATAAAAAGTAAGTACTGAAGATATCTGAGAAACAACATCCTCAGGAGATCTTCATATATCCCGGACATTACGACTTGAACAGGACATCCTTAAAATGATGATTTACGAAGTCCTCAGGATATCTTAAAATCAACATCCTGAGGAGATCTTCATATATCCCGGGACATTGAGACTTGAATAGGATATCCTCAGGATGTTGACTTAAGAGGTCCTCAGGATATCTAAGAATCAACATCCTCAGGATATCCTAACTGCTTCCCGGGAGATTGCGACTTAAATAGGATATCCTGAGGATGTCTTGTGTTATGGGGGCAGTATTTAATGTACTGATAAGTACATAATACTTTGATTTAATACGTTATTTAATACTGATAATGTCTTACTTACATAATTTACCAATTAACTATAATTATGCAGAGAATGTATTAAACAAATTATCCTGTTTTACGGGTAAAACAGGATAATTCACTTCGTCACTATCAGTAGTTTTTACGTAACCACGGTATATTTTGGAATGCATTTCACGCAGATCAAAACACTGTTATATTGACGAATTTATTTATAATTATGAATAAATGGCTAAAAATTCTGTATGGTTATTTACAGTTACTTTGCTGTGTTTTCTGCCTTTTTTTCAGAGCAACTTTATATATGCGATTCGTGATGAATCGTGATTAATGCATATGAATCGGTAGATTTGAAAGTTCGAAAACTATTGCTGCAATTGAATAGAAGACTAAAGTCCTAAGGAAATCTGACATATCATTTTTTTAAATAAATAGCAGTTTTCATGGATTTCAAAAATAGTTTTAGTACTCTGATCAGTTTAAAAAATTATATCAATTATGATAAATTAAAAAATTATATCAACTAAATAAATAAAATTATATCAATTATGATGAAGTAAGAAAGAAAAATTGAAGTATGTATTTAATTAAGAAGAACTGTAATCATGCATAGTATATGGAATTAGAAGGATAATTTAGAAGTAATAAAGAATGTATCTAATTTTCTGTGGATGTCCAAGAAGTCACGGTGTTTTATATTTAAATAATTTCCACTATGATGATAAATGATAACTATATCGAGCTATCACTATGGTGCATGATATTGAGTATAATATCGCACTATGATGATAATGATAAATATATTCCAAATGATAAGTATATTGAGCTATATTGAGTTATGTGTTTTTCATAAATACGAAGAGTATATTTAAAAAATCAGCTTTAAAAATCGAATATCTAAAACATTTTTTCATTTTAGGAGTGATTACGGCTGCATACCGAGGGGTCATTTGAGTTATATTAGTCCAGAATTGATGTCTTCCTTACAAATCGATCCTCCCCTCATATATACCTCGAAACCATGCACTCAAGAATCCGACATATTTGCCTTCGGGTAAGGTCATTACTGTGTTTTCTAGTTAAATAAGGATTTATAGATGTTTCTGGGTATAACTGTTTGCATATTGTCCTTTTAAGGTCATGTTATTTCTTGCACATTGATTAGCAGTACGATTAAATATTGCTGGTTTCTTTTCCGATTATGTAACTCATGTCAGAAACAGTGTTTACGACAGAGCATTTGTTGGAAAATGTGCTTTCAGTAAGCCCTTTTGTTTCGTGTAAAGCCCATTTTTTCTGATTTTTTATATTAAAATTAAATAATAGTATAATATATCAAATAATTACTAAGCAGAGAAATTTTACTCTTTAAATTGCTCTAATTGTTTCCCAGCTGGTATCATATATATTCTTTTAGCAATGTTCAGTTTCCAAAACTTCTAGCAAATGTATTATTTTAAAATTATGCATGTTTTTATGTAAGCAGAAACAAAAAGAAAATTACTAGTGGCTGCATGACTAGAACACCTTAATGCAGTTAATTCTCCCAAGACTCAGTTCTTAGCTACTCAGAAGGGTAGGCTGCGTGCGGATTTTCTGATTTTTTTCAATATTAAACTTGAATAGGTAACAGTTTCCTTCAGGAAGTGTCCAAAGTATCTTCTTAAGGTAGGTTTCCCTGTAGTGCTTTAACAGATTATATAACCCGGTGTAATCAAACTTTAAGGGAGCTTTAAAGGAAAAGATTATTGTATACATCTTTTCGAGAGCAATATACTGAAAATTGCTTTCTAGTTTCTTCAACATACGGAAACTTTCTTTAATCTATTTGACATTAAAATTTACGGTAAAATGAAAAAAAAAAGACTTAGTAGTAGTTGAATTTTTCAATTCTTATAATTACAAATGAAATATGGAATCAGTTAGTATACAATAATTATGTTGATTTCGTAGCAGTTAATGGATAATTTTTAGCATTTAATACTTTCGGACAGAGCAATTTGTCCCAAAGTCGAGCAATTTGTCCAAATTTGGAGATATTTATTAAGAGCGTGACTATGAAACAATGTAGTCTAGGAAGATGCAGCTAGTTTCTTTTGTGAAAGAATTCAGTTATTTCATAGCATGTTCAATCTTCAAAAGGAATGCCTTAAGTAATTTATTTAAAAAATTGTTTGTTTGCATGGGCTATGTAAATCAGTTAATTTGAGCTATTATACAACATAAATTTAGTTACATAACAATTAATTATGCAGCATAAATTTGCAATAAGGCTAAATGCAAATTTAGCTGTGGGAATTATATACGGTTGTAAGAATTTTATGTCGTTTCTTCTAAAGGTAACAGTAAATTTTGGTTATTTATATATTACGAAGTAAACCACATTTGAAAATTAATTAAGCTGAAAGAAATGAATGTGGATTACTTGTAACACGATGAATTTTTACGAATAGATTGAAATTGGCGCTTTCAATTTCAACTACAGCACAAAGTAAGCATGTAAGTGAACATCATAGAATGTTTTGGACATTATAGACATAAAAATTTCTGTCATCGCTATGTTTAATATTTCCCTCAGCGCAAGTAAAGTGACATATAAGTGCCTTTGTATCTTGAGAAATTAAAGGGTTCTAAAAATAATAATCTTTCTGAAAACATGCTTTTTAAAGTTATTTGTAATCAAGATCTTATTATCTACATCCTATCTTCTATTCTAACACGTATTATGTTGCCTTAACACCATTAAAATTGGATACTTCAAAAATAGATGATTAGTTCTAAAAAATCACAGAGGTCGTAAAAAGTAATTGTTTATTTTAAAAACCGGTAGATTTACTGTGAAAAAATTAGAAACCAATACCACGAAGAATGGTACAAAACTCATGTAAAAATATTGCGTTATCCAGTTTCTTGATGGTTTGGGTAAAGGAAAAGATTATGGAAATATGTACGATACATAGACCAATCATATGCTAATGATAATCATGCACATAAAATAGGGACAGGGAAAAAATGGACGGGGCACCAGAACTTTGCATATGCTCACACAGGTATTGCTCCGTCGCACTACTGTACAAAGCCCCCCCCCGAAAAAAAAAACTTCTCATGGCCGAAAAGGCTCGAGTGGCACAAACAAGCAACGAATGATCGCCACCCAAGTCTCCAGGACCGTCCCCTTCGATGGGGACCTGCCCTTCATCCGTTCATTCGGCATTTTTTAATTTTGTACAAAATTTATAATTGGTACCATTTACAGTGGTGCATATAATATCGTTTGCAATAATTTTGTTAATATAATCCAAGTATAATATGATAATGTAGTTTAGAAATTCATAAATAAGGAATAAAATTAAAGAAAAATGAAATGATAGTTAAAGAAAAGGAAACTTCATAATATCGACTTTGTCTTTAAAAATTTTTGTCTTTCGTTAAGTAAGTCTAAAGACATAGAACAATCATACGACACATAGAACAATCACATGCATGTACTGAATGAAGCCTACTTTGATACTGATTAGGTAACAAATATAGACTTGACAGCGAGGAAGAATCAGATTCTGGTGTTGATTCAAAAGTGATGAAATACAACGTCTTTAAATGGGTACCACTTTGTCAGTAAATTGAATTCTGTAACAAAAAAAAAATTGTTATATATATTTTAGAGATTTATTTTATTTATTTGATTTTCCTAGAGTCAGTTTTTTTTCTCTTCTGATGATGGTACTTAAATCACTCTAAATTTCAGTACCACCTACAGAAGAAATACAACAATTAACACTAAGTAAACGCGTGGATCTGTAACTGAAGAGTAAATTCTATAAGTACCAGTTAAAGATTAACGTGTCATATATTTCCAACAATAATTGTACTTCAAGTAATGCCTAAAATTTTATTATAAATGTTATTATAGCACCAAAACTTCATATAAAACATATATAAGAACAAATGTGATTTAATTGGCATTAAAATTACTTTAAATTTAACAGTATTTCATTTCGGATATTTTTAGGTCGTTGCTGTTTGAATTATTGGCAGAACGTTTTGCCTTTCATGACCAGCCACCTCATGCTCTCGTATGGCAAGTTTCCTCTGGGAAAACAGCTCCCTTGCACAATTTTCGGTTCATTAATGGACTCAAAGTAAAGATATTTTTCTTTTCAAATAGTATTAAGAGAATAAAATAAATTTACATATCCAATTTCAGTAATATGCATATGGACCTATTCCACATGAAACAGTTTTTAGACAGATGTGTTAGAGATTTAAAACTGGGAAATGTTGAAAGAAAAGACAAGCTTTAGAGAAATAAATTTTTATATATAATATTACAGACAGAAATTACATAAGTTTTATATATAATATTACAGACAGAAATTTTAATACAGACAGATTTTGCAGATATTTATCAGCAATTACACAAATATCAGAATCTTTCTTGATTTTCAAAGAAACGATGCTATACCATACATCTGAGTCTGCACATGACTGAGCTGTATGGTATAGCACCGCTTCTTTGAAAATGAATTATATTAAGATAACGTCCAGTAGATGTTGAGTAATCATGAACTTCATGACTAATTTTTCATACTGAGAGGAAGAGAAAACTTTGGAAACCGTACTACAAATACGAAGTAGTTTTTTAATGCAATAAATACTATCAATAATCTTGGTTGTTACTTGGTTGTTAATAATCTTGGTTGTTAACAATTTCGGTACTAAATAAATAAATAAAAATTACAATCATTATATTTTGTCATCTTTGGGGTTATGTTAAATAATAGGAATTAATTTTAGCTGGGAATATTTCTATATTCAAATGAATATTCAGTAGCTTTCTCCCATTATGCATAAAGAGTATATCCAAATAGTAAAATAAATTGATTTTCTTAAATTTTCCCTTTTCGATAATTTACTGGGATGATATGGATATTAATATTCTCCGTGATTAAAGATATATACGGCAATCTATTCAGAATCTTCAGAAAAAAATGTCATATCCTATAACCCGGCCCTGGTTACCTACGAATTTAATAGTCTTTCACACTGATATGAGTGATTTATACTAATTTTTGAAGGATTATTTCTTGTTCATGCATTAAAAAAGGTGTAATTTTTAAAACTAAGAAAGAAAGCAGTTTTAAGTGCTTAACATCTTGTATTATGAGCTAGTATAAACTAACTAGACGTCAATGCACTATGTAAAGAATTATCCTTAAGTATGACAAAGTACAGAGAAAGGATGTAAAAGACAACACTTTGTTGACTAAATATTTACAGATGACACCGATTCGTACAAAAGCCAACACTTTTGACTTAAGTCAATGGTGATACGTAGCTTAAAGTAGAATAGAATTAAGTTAGTTAAACGGCATTTCCCAGGTCACTTAATACGCAGGGAGGTTCTGCCTCCTAAAAGTCGGCGTGTAAACAAGCCTAATGGCTAGAAGCGCATGACACAGAAATCTAACCGCTAGTAAATCAAAGATGTCAATGTGGTCTTTAGATAGAACACGCTTTAAGCAGGTAGAAAATGCTCTCTCTCTCTCAATTCTCCATCCAAAACCGTCCCTTAAATACTAGCTTCTTCCTACCTCATTTCAAGACAAGCGCACTAACACATTTGCATTCTCGCAAGACTGCGTGTGTGTGTGTATTTAATTATGGGAAAGCTCACTAGGGCTATCTGCCTAAGGAGAAGGGGTGCCTTCGTGGAGGATTTTCTAAGGAAAACTGGCTCGTATGCACGTTACACATGGGGAAAACCACGAAAACACCCATGCAGCCAGCCCGTTCGCGGGATTCGAACCTCGGACCGAACTACCAGTGTTTCAGCGACTTTACCGCTCGGCCGCTGGTGGGCCGTACAAGACTGCGTGGTTAGAAAGCGAGAGTAATAGGAAAGTTGCTTCAGAATGGAATTAACTGTTAAATAACTTAAATAAAAGGCATTAAAAATTAGAGTGACATTATAAATTCGAGGAAGGAGCGAATTTCTTACCTGAAATTGACTTCTTGTCTTAGCAAGATTAAGATTCTTAAAGAATTAGCAAGAGTCTTAGCAAGAGTAAAATATTGAGATTATTGGGATTAATTGATTATCTACCGTTCTACTAATGGAAATGCCCTTTTGAGTGTATAAATTGGAAACAGATACCTCGCAGTTATTTGCTGTCAGCTATAAGACATTTCATTTTTTTGTCTGCTTTATTATTTTTTCTATTATCTGCTTATACATTTTCGTTTTTTTTTTATCTGCTTATACATTTTCTTTTAACATTCTTGTTTATTTTATATTAGGTTTCGTAACTGGCTGAAATTTGGTAATGGTTTAAAGAAACTATATTGACGATTCGATAATCACTATAACAACGGAATATTGTTTATAGTTATAGTTGACCAATATAAATATTACTAATACGAAGTACCATAAAAATAAAATTTATGTATTGGCAGAACGTGCACTGGATAATTCTATTTTCAAAATAAATGTTTCTTGCCATTTGATGTTAAATTTATCAGGAAGAGATTTTTGCGTTATTTTTTTCCTTAAATCTAATCTAACAAAAATGTTTAAAAGTGAAGAAATATATTGAAAATGTCCGACACTTTAATTTACAAGTCATATCTTTGAAACACATACTACTTCATACCTAGTTGTTAAACTTGTAGAGTTCCTGACTTTTATTCTGTTAAATTAAATGTCGAGGAACCTAGTGAACTGTTAAGCGAATTATCGCTTAGTTCAAAGAACAGAAATGTAAACTCAAGAAGGGTTAATTACCCTTTATTCACTCAAAGTAAGAGGAACAGTCAGCCCCTTTCTTCAGGCTTAAAACAAAGCCTTCACTTGGGCTTAACTCAAAACTAAGAAATAACAACTACCTATATCTAACCAGGAGATTTAGATGAAGTTAATGCAGTTCTAACGTAGTTGGCCCTTAATTTTGAACTAGGCGGCGAACTATCAAAAGGCACGTAATATACGACCGTGCGTAACAGCAGCTTAGAGACTTAGCCCAAAGGCAAACGCGCTATTCAGGATTCCTAGCTCTCTCGAAGCAAGCTGAACTTTCCTTTAATATTATTTCTTACTCATTTGCATTCACCGCGATTCTAAAAACACTCATTCTGATTGGGAGTTGTAAGTTGAGACGAGGAACGATAGAAAAGATTAATTAAATTGAAATTACTGTTATAGAATTAAAATATACCTTAGAAACTTTTTATTTATTAATGATGGTGCACGAATTTAGAGCATCATAGGAAAATACGATGGGAGCACAAATGAACATCTTGGTTCAAATACTGATATTTACTGCTGGCTCATTATTAGAAAATACTGTTACACATAATCAGAAGTGCTTAACTTATTTTGAGTCCCTGAACCAATTTTAGAATTTTTAAATGAAAAGCGTTTAGAAAATAAGAAAAGGAAAAAACATTAATTTTGTTAAACTGAGGGTTACTTTAGTGAATTAGGGAATGGAAAAATATAATTTAATTATTTCAAGCAAGTGAAAATTTTAAAAGAAAGTATTTAAATGGCATTTATGTATGGTGAAACTCATGTTTATAAGATAAACAATAACAGCACCTATATGTACTGAAACAATACTATATACACAAATGCTACAAATTTACATAACAGTTTTGCTCCTATGTGTCTATAGAGGCTCCGGATGCTTTCATGTATATATATATATATATTCTCAAATGCAATGAATTTCGATCATTTGTATGTGTTTTTATTTTACAGTAATCTAAGTCGCGAATGTACAAATGGGCATTCTCTAAATAACTATATGTGTGCATACTAGTTATATATTCGTGTGCGTAATATATTTTTAATTATTTTGATAATTCATGATTCCTGTTGTGATTTACAGACACTGATTAAACGATGCTGGTCTCGTAAACCCGAGCAACGCCCACCTTTCTCAGAAATAGTTCACATTTTACAAGAAAACGTAAGTGCTTTTACCTTACTACTTATCTATAAGAAAACTGAAGATGATAATTAATTAAAATAACGGAATTTCCTGTATCACAAAACAGGCTGGTATTTATAAGGAATAAATGAAAACCTTATCATAATAATAGACAAAATATTTGAATTAAGGAAGGGGGAAATGAAACAGACGAAGTATAATAAAATTGTTACAGAATTTTGAAGCCTTCTGTTATATGTTTATTTGTATTTATCTTTGTATATATTACTGTAGCTTTAGAAGAGCGTATATATTTCTGAAAAGTTTCTAAATATTTATAATCAGACAAAAGTTCATAACCTATAAGAGAAGAACAGCTTCTTGAAAAATCTTGGGCAAAGAGCACATAAAACGTGAGCAAATAATTAATTTCTTTAATGATGTTCCTTTAATGATTTAATCAGAACTCCTTCAAAATACAGTCTTTTAAATTAAAAAGAAATTTAATGTTGACTTACATTAAGTTTGGAAAAAAATGCTTTCTTTCAAAACATGTTCTTTATAAAGAAAGATAAAAAACTCAGCCGCTGCGTTCGATGTGGTGGAGCAAGCACAGTTAAGCAAAATTATGTATAGTTTTTTGGAATGTTCCGATTTAGAAGCACGCACACTAAATAGAATATTCCTTTTCCTTGTCCTGAAATTTTAACAATCTGTTTTCTAATACGTCTTCTACAGAGTACCAAATAATTGTTTGGAATTTTCCAACAAATAAATTTTATTTTCTTTCGCTCCCAAGTCAAGAAATTTAAAGAAATTGGAACTGCGACAAAATGTACATTTACAATAACTGGTTATACATAATTTCTTTTTGTGAAGCAAGTTATTTAAAAATTATTTCACTAAAAGCGGTGGATTCCGTTAAAATTCTAGGCACCTATTGAAATAAGTCATTTTTCAACATGAGATATTTTCTTAAGACAGATACTACTTTAAGAAATGAAACAAATAGTATGTGCTACATGTGTAATAGTCACTTGTCGTGTACATAAAATCAAAAGGTTTTCCACTTTGGAAGTAATTTCCTCCTTGAATGACATGGGCAGTCGACCAAAATATGTATCACCTTTACAAAAAATTCTGTAACCGATTTGGCAACTATGGAATAAGCTTGGGCACGATCTGTTAACATATAATACAGATCTTTATCAATATCCTGTATCTGTACACACTTCAAATATAAATATACTATCACAACTTGTGTTTCAATTTCACTAGAATGTGGGCGAACATGATTCAGATTTTGGTTAGAAAGGAAACGTTAAGCTACAAATACAACATTTGTCATTAAATTCTATGTAGAGTTTTACATAAAATTATATAAAAGTTTTGTCTAAATCTTTCACCTTTTCACTCATGCAACGTGCAAACATTTTCTTCACCGTTTGTAGTAATTATTAAATAAAAAAATGCAGAATGTTCCTAAAATCAGGGAACTCCAATTTTGACACCTAAGTTATTACATCTAACATCTTCTTGCTACATACTTTGCATTTTAAATGCATTAAGTAAGAAAGTTTATTTAACACATGGCCACTCAAACAAGTAAGTAGCTAGTGACGCTAACAGCCGTACTGAAGAGCCCGGGTTCGAATTCAGGAAAAGGCATGGATGTTTATAAATGTAGTGTCTGTGCGGCATGGGGGCACAAAAATATGCGGCAGGCCACAGAATTATCGAAAGGCTGGTGGTAAGGGAAGAGGTGAGGAAGACCCTCGGCATGGGGGCACAAAAATATGCGGCAGGCCACAGAATTATCGAAAGGCTGGTGGTAAGGGAAGAGGTGAGGAAGACCCTCGGGCCCGTTCTCCGGGGTGATCTCCTTCAAAACTAGGGGCGGAACTGAGCAATGTAGGACTGTCACCTGTATGACGTTCAAGACTCTTGCCAACGACAAACGCAAGCTTGTACTCTTTGCCACAATAAAATTCGTGGGCTTGTTTTGATTAGGTGAAACAAGTAGGATTAGTCACAGCAACAACAACATTTAGTACATAACATACAGATGCTTCGATTCCAGCGATTCCCAAAGTTCTGCGTTAGTATTCACGATATTAAAGTTAAATTATGAAAGTGTTGTACACTGTTCCATAAAAAAAAGAGCGGTCTATGGCACATATAACCTCTTTTAAGATATGATTATCGATTGAAAATTCTGAGTTGTCTTCTGAGTATTGAAAGTTATTTTCCGATGCTCTCAGATAATTCCTTTGGTTATTCCAGGATTGTAAAATATAACATCTTAACTAATAGTTACACTCATTCATATTATAAAAAGAACTAATTATGTGGTAAGAAAAGGATAAAACTTTTTCTTTTAACAAATTAATAATTATGAAAATTGTAACAGCACTCATCTGCCTAGTATTACTATTTTCAGGTGTCTCATCATAGACGGCACAGCTGTTCTGAACCAGACCGCTTACATCTTGCCGGTCAGACGTCCAGCCGAGTACTTTGCACGTGAACCTCGAATGTGATAAACGAAACAACAAATTAGCAACTTGGTGTGATCTCCTCTGACGGACACTTCCTTTTTCCATAAAATATTTTATACGTTCTCCAGTTGACCAAAAATGAGAAAAAGCTGCCATAAATAGTAATGACATTCTCATTGTAGTGCTTTTATCTAAGCTGTGAAAGTGATTACAGTATCTCGTTTCTTTAATTAATAAACAGTAACTGACTTTTTAGTTTGACTTAATTAATTAATAGCTTTCCAAAAAGTTTTGAATTCTTTTTGGTTTGTTCTCTTTATAAAGTATAAAGCATTTTCTATGTTGATTAAAAAAATTATGATAGGTTTATGAGGATCATTTTAATTTTAGCTGTTAAAGTAACATTCAGCCTACGATTGTAATTAATTTTAAAAATTCTGTGCATAATTCAAATTATCTAATCTCTAAAACTACATCGAGTACTTATTAAAGTCAGCTTAAGAATAACTTTGAATTTTTCATAATTTCAAACACGTCGACCTTTTTTAAATGTTAACAATTCTGAAAAGCAAAACATGAGTCTTTCACAAACTACTTTCATTACCTATTGTATTTCCATGCCTGTTTTTAATCACACTTTAAATTTAAATGTGTAATTATTGATAATAGTGTAATTACTGTGTAATTATCAATAATATAATTACATTATTACCTGTAAACGGATGAAAATAGAGTAATTCTTATCGGATACCAGCATATGAAATCACCTTGAACACATAGCGATTTATGGCAGCTTACATTTACTTTTGTAATACCTGTTTTACATTTGTACCAATGTTTGTATTTGTACCAAACTTTGAGATGAAGAGTTTGCTTAATTCATAGTAGACGCAAGAGATTTTCTCCAGTTGGAGCTTTAATAATTCACAAAATTGGATTTTTGCAAACAAAGGCAAAAATTTGTCTTTTTTCATTCTTCGATTCTGTTTGCTTCCCGTAATTCTTAACTATAATTAATGCTAGAATGATAATTCGATCTTTGTGAGAAAAGGACTAGCTGTACCAATTATTTAGCAAAATAACCATACTTTTGCGATATGTACATATATTACCATAATATTAAAGCTTATATTTAATATTTTAAGGTGAAGGGAACTAATCCTCTGGATTAGTTGTTGTCTTTAAAGTGATAAAAGCCTTACTGAATGTACCGAAGTTTTTTACTTTATATTTTAGAGCAGTGGACTACAATATTTACTTAAGCTCTATAGTGTTCGTTTTAGAGCTTAAGTAAATCTCTGTTTTTTATACTTTAATTATCTATTGAGAGGAGAATCAGATTTAATACGTACTTCCTATTCATTAGCAAACTGATGTCAAAATAATAGCAATGACACATTAAGTAAAATAAAAATGATCAACGTTGAAACTGTTTGTTGAGGAAGTTTATGAGAAATTTCGACAAGACAAATTAGTATCATCATTCTGACAATAGAATCAGAGTTTCAGCGTTGTTTATTAGACTTTACAAATTAATTAAATTCCATACTTTAATTTAACAACTCTCTTTTGGAATCTAAAGAAATATTTTACGCTTTTTTATTTTGCAATTTATGTACCTGATATGTCTACATCAATAAAAGGCATCAAATTTACTAGAATTTCACATTCGTAACGCATAGTTGTGCACAGTATTGTATTGTAAATGTAACGTTTCGTTCTTTTTATCGATCTATATAAGTACGTTGTTCCTTTTTGTATGTTTTAATGCATTAGGAATGTTGTTACATGTTATATTCAGTTCGTTGTTAATTCCTGTTGACCTTGCAATATGTTTTATTGTAAATTATTTATTTAAAAGAACGTCTTAGTTAAGTAATATTCCTTTAAACATTTATTTTTGAAATAAATCATTATTGATATAATGTCAACTAAATTTGTCATTTGGCAAATAAAACTCAATAAATATTACAATGATGATGCCATTGATATATCACTTGTGAGAAATTTAATGAAATATATGTTTTTTCATTGTGCTTGATGAAGAAATGACTGCAATGATGTTCTTAAAATATGCAAAGAATAATACGAGAAATCGCAAGAGAAAAGCGGTCTTCGATAAATTATCCCATTTTCAACTACTATCTTTTATATTTTATTGTTTAATATTACAAATTTTGATTAGTTGGATAGATGAAATGTAATTTTGTAGTTGCATGCCTAATCTTTAAATATGGTTTTGTTATTAGTTTTATCAAACAAATAAATAAAAAGATTTAAGAATAACTTAATTGTGTTCTAAATCTTTGAGGGGTAAAATCCCTGCAAAGATTTAATTTCTATTGTATGTCCTGCTCGACAGATTATTTTTGTCATTCTACTTGTATTTTGTGTCTTGTTCTGTAGAAAAAGGTTAATAATAATGTAGAAATGCTCTGTCATTTAATATGTGAAAGAATATTTGAAGAGAGAAATGATTTCCTTTAACACCCAAATGCGATCATTATACATTTTAAGAGGCAAGTACCATTTTTAAGAAAAATGCATAGGATTTTGCTTCTTTAAATGTTATATTCGCAAAAAAATTAGTTAAGACAAATTTAAATCAAATTATTTGGACGTGTACTTCAATTTATGAAATCTTACCAAAATACGATGTTGAACAGACAGTATGTCGCCATTTTCTATAATTTAAAGTTATTGAATACATTCCGCGGAAATTAAAAAGGATTTCAATATTAATTTAGAATGCTACTGGATGTGATGATATTTAGTAATTTAATTATTCAATTTTAAGCTTTATAGTTTTATTCTTTAGTAATTTTAGAACTTAAATTTTTATCTAATTTAAGCGTTTGATAAATAAAAATGTAAATATATCAATTATGTCTTCCTAACTGTAAGATAAATTCCTAAACTCTAGGCTCCAAATTTTTATTATCATGACTATTATGATATTTGAAACTTTTGGATGATTTGAAATTTCTCCAGATATTTAAAATTTTGAAGAATACGCGTGTTTGCTAGGAAAGAGTATACCTTACTTTTGGATATAACTATGCCAGAGTTTAGAATGAGAATTTTGTATAAAATTCTATACCTAAATTGACTTATATATACCTTTGTAACTGATGTATAATACATGAGATAGCAATAATGTAAATATAGTTTTATATCGCCAACTCAATTTCACTTTGGAACTAATATCAGCAGAAGAGGAAAGAACAACGCTAACGATGTCTTTTAAAAAGTTTAGAAAGGAAATGTTCTAGTTTAATCAAAATGTCACCTAGCAACAGTGTTTATTTAACCTTAATGAAGAGTTTTTCACGTTCAAGTATTTTACTCTTTTTCGGTCAACTGGTGAAAAAGCAAAGATGAAAATGTTCCAACTTCAAAAACCATTCCACGGATGCAATGGCAGTCGTACAAACATATTTATTTCCACTGATAAAGGAGAAACGACTGCTGCATATTTTTCCTTTTCATATGCTGCTCATTTTTTAATAATTCTGTAGCCAATTAGACATGTCTTCTTTAAGAACGTCAAAATGTTTAGCACCGTCTATTCATGCAATGTAAAGCAATTCCATGTCCAATCTTTCAATAAAATCTTCCTACGTCGTTTGTGTGTCTTTGTTACAGTTTGAAATGAATTGTAAAGAGTATTATTCAAAACGATGACAAGCAAAATACTAGTTTCTTTCTACGGAATTTTATTACGGTTTCAGAAACGATTTTGGTTGCTTAAACTCTTAAACTTTAAAAAGGAAAAGTTTTGCAAGATTTTCGAGAAGAATTTTAGAGATTTTATTTCTGCATGTATTGATCCTAATCATATATTTCCAATTACAAATCTTCCAAAATAATACACAAGATTTAACAGAAACAATTCCAAAAATACGGTTAACAAAATATAAGCTTTGTATAAGCTGCATGACCAACAATTCTGATTACAAAATATTAGTTATACTTTTAATAAAAGTTTGCATAAAGTTTTATATACCTTTCCACGGATCCAATGGGAGTCGTACAAACATATTTATTTCCACTAAGGAAATTTATGAAAATTAAGGAACTTAAGACACATTTATTTATATTAATAATTAATAATTTAATTAATAAAACATTTATTTCCATTAATACAATGGCCTTAATTTCAAATGTATTAATGGAAATTAAGACATATTTATAAGTAATATTTTCCTTTACAAACAAAATTCTCGGATATAATTGAGAATAGATTTACTTACATAGATTTGTAATGTAAATTTACGTGGATTTATACGTTTCATGATTTATAATGATTAAAAATTATAACGTTTTGTTTAAGGGAAAACGCTCAGCTAAAGAAAAAATAAATGTTATATTATTCTATTAATTAATGGTTTCTCATTGCATAAAACAGTCCTCAGTATGGAACCTATAATGAAAATATTAATTTTACAAATTTCAGCAATTTAGTGTGCAAATGCATGGAATATTTTGCATTGTACTTCGTAAAACGTAATTAATATTTTACTGTTTGGAATTTTTCTGCATATATACTATATTTAAATTTGCGTTTCATAATTACATAACTTTTTCTTGCACTATTTTGAAAAAATTTTCCCAAAATTATCTACCTCTCTCGAGAAATGTTTTAACCTTTAATACAGTCCTAGAATCAAAATTAAAAACAAATAAAGTTTATATATTCAACTTTTCAAAACACCTTGCAAAATGTACTCATAAATTCTGTGCTGTGCATGAAGACAGTAAATCCTATTTGTAATAAAATTAACAAAAAAAGCAAAGACAAATTTTTTTGGATTTCTTTTAGCGTGTCATGCTTACCGCATATTGTTAATGGCATGCTAAGTAAAATGTTTCTTGGCATAACATATTTATTTTGTTTCTTAAACTGCAAAACAGGTCAGCAGAATCTTGAAAGGAATATTGTATGAAAAAATTGATAATAATGGTAATGCTAATAACCATATGAATAAAATTGTTTTATAGATATAACTTTCTAGAAGGAGAATGAATAAACGTACTTAATATACGCGGCAAATAACCACAGCTATGGATTTTAATTGAGTAAAATATGATAGTATTAAATTTAATTCAGCAGAAAATTTTACCTGTCTTTAAGTCCTTCTGGATTATTCTATGTGAATTAAGTTACGAAGCGGATTAAGTAATTACCTGTTTCAATTTATTCAAATAATAAATAACTTAACACACTTTCAGAAGGCAAGAATAAGAAAAGAAAAAATATATAAAATTTGGTTGGGAATATGACAAACACGACGGCTATTTACTTAAGAGAAGGGATTCCTTCATGGAAAACTTTCTAAAAGAAACTGGTTCGTTATACATAGGAAAAACCACAAAAACCAACCATGCAGCTAGCCTGGTCTCCTGAATTCGAAACCGGGCAATCTACCGGCATTCAGTGGTTTTAGCTACTCGCCCTGTGATGGGAGCCATATGAGAAAGAAATGAAACTATGCATTCAATTACGAATGCTAGGAAGAAAACTTCGAAATGTTAATAATTAAATTTTTAAAAATTATTGATGAATTATTACTGAATTTTGTAGCTCATAGTTTTTAATATTCGATTTCATTACTTAAGATACCTGAGTGATAGAATGAGATTTCAATAAGTAACCTGTATGATTTTAAATTATTTAAAATTATTTTTAAGCAAAAATAGGTAAAATAAAAATTAACTTTTCAGAAATATTCACTGGCTTATTAAGTAGTACTTGCAAATCGTATTTTTTATATAAAATAGCCAGTTACAAAATTTGGAAATGAAAGTGGCTGAAATTTCATGCTCAAAAATATGATGAAGGGCACAGCCATAATATATGGGCGCAAGAAGCAATGGACTCTGCCCAACGATCATAATTACTAATTATTGCCTGCTCAGAAACACAAGGTATGTTTATCTGCCTAGATAAACGCAATCGACGAGCGTCGTGTATCAGCCTTTATGGCAAAAATATTAAAATAATTAAAAATGTGAGATACATTGGGGTTATAATTGATGTCCCTTGACTTTCTTTAAATGTAGGGAATTTCTGAGAGAATACTCAGGATGTGGTACACAGTAGCTGGCAGAACGAATTACATTTTATAAGGTCTCCATGTGGGGGCGTAACTATTACTATTAAAATGGAGAATATGCTGCGCTCAGCACAAAGACTTTTCTTCCTTTGCTGAGGGTACAAAACCTCGCCTACGGATGCACTAAACGTGATTTTAGGCTTGCCACCTCTGCATATCTTTGCTCAGGGCAAGAGTGCAATTGCGCATATGCTCCGACTCAAAGAAACGAAGTTTGTGGGATAGGACTTACGGATATACTGACTATGAGCAAACTATTCCCTCGCCACTTTTTCATCCGGCTGAATTTAATATTTCAATTAACTGGAAGTGGCCGGCATGTCTCAAAGCCACCGCAATCTCCACTGATGGGACAAAAGGAGAATGCGGCTCAGGCAATAAATATTTTTTACAGCATGGAAGCCAGATAATGATCTGGGAATGAAAGCTCAGGGAATACAACTCAGTTTTTTAGGTGAATGTGTTGCATTAAAAGCTTCACTTGCCTATATGTCGGCTAATAGCTATTCCAATATTTATACGGACTCTATCTGATAGGGAATCCAAGGCACGTACCAGAAAAATCCACTAGCGAGGGCCATACAAAAACTGCTAAATACACCAGACAATCGTCAAACTTCAATGGGTATCTGCCCGCAGAGGAATATTGCGTAACGAAATTACTGATGCAACAATCAAGAGAGTAGAAAATGAGCCCCACGTACAGCATGCAACATCCAAGAGAGTAGCGACTGAGCCAGTTTGATGTGCCTCTCACTGGCTTGTTCTTAAAAACCGAGCTCGAAAGAGACTTATTGAAGCAATAGCAATATCCGTGAGAAACAGAGAATACTGTAGAAGAATCTATAGACATTTTCCAAAAGTAAGTCAGCTTCTAAGAACTGACTCTCTTCAACTTACTCAGATTCTAAGACAGCATAAGTCCTTCATCACTTATTTGCATCACTTTAGGCAACGTGAAAATGACCAGTGCTCATTACCGGCGACAGAATGTCCGGATCACTATGTGTTCGTTTCCAAGAAGTTCGTATCTATGCATTTTTAGCTCAGAACATGTGGAAACTGCAATTGTTCTCCTTACCCGTATTGCACCCTTCTTCGTTCCTTGAACCACTGAAAAAACCTGAATCACTCAAGCAGCTAAGGGAAGCACTTAAGTCTGGTACTATGATATACCAATTGAACATAACCGAAAACGAATTTCGTCAAAGCCCAGTCCTTTTGAAGCTATCATTGAGGTCCGGAGTGACCCCACTTTAATGTTATAAACAAATGTTATTTTTATAGTTCCTGTTTTCACTTGTGGTAGTTGAATCGCATTATTCTGGTCACAGCTAGTTTCATTAACTCTAAATACTGAAGTGCATTTGTACCGATATTTCACAGATTATTTTAAAAGCAGTTTTGGGGATTTCACTTTATGAAATGCAATATATGTGTTTTGTTTGTAGTTCCAAATATGCAGAAATTCTTTTTTTCTGTTATTTGCGGCAGTCCATTATGGATATACGCAGCGTAATTACTGTTTTCAACGCCAAATATTTACTGCAGTATGTGATTCAATTTTATTGCATGCCACTGCATATGATGGTTTGCGATCATCAAAAAATAAAAGCTTTTTATATCCAATCTTCCAAAACCAAAAAACTAAATAATGAAAAATCGAATAGATGATGTCAAAATATAACAGAATAAGCCAAAAGTACTATATTAGCATGCTGTCCCTTGCGAAATGCAGTAAAACATAAAACCATATCTTAGCAGTAATATATTCAAAGTCACCTTCTATTAATAATATTGCAAAAAATTATAGCTACGAAATAAGTGAACACAGTTGAAGCATTTGGATTATCTGCATGAAAGCACCACAACTATAATAACAAGACAGCGAGTTTCGACTATATATTTTGTTTTTCCAATGATAGATTGTGAACAGTTACAGTGTAGCTCAGTCCATTAAGCTATTTTTTTACAAGGCCAGATGTGGTGGTCTCTTTATTATGGAGGCACCTAATAGGTGGGAGTTTTGACCTATGTCAAAGCACATAAAAGCTACCTGTCCGTGAGAAACCCATATTACAGCTAGAATAGACTTCTGGACGAAATTCCAGTATTTTCCAAGTTTGAACTGTTAGGCAAATACTCAAAAACCTGTTTTAGAGTAAGAATTTAAAATGTGTTTTTTTCCGTCCTTTTCGCAGTTATCGATGCTTAAATCCTCAGAAAGCGAAACATAGTATTTAGTGCTGCCATCTAGCGATAAGCGATAGAAAACACAAATATAGAGGGAGAAAAATTTTTTCAGAAGATTTTAGATAGAAATAAGTACTTATTCATCATTATCCAACTGTCTAAACTCAGTATCTTGTCAGCCATATGTTGGTTTCATATATTCTTATTATAAATAAATTACTGTAACAGGAACAGGCTTTATTATTAGGAAGTAGTTAAAGTTTACACAAGCTGAATCACAAGCTGAATAATACAAATATCTACTTTTTGTTATAAATTTGTATTTATCATAAGGCGTGATGTTTTAACAATACAAATAGTATCTTAATGCTGATTTTTAATAAGGATAGAGAAAGAATGATAGGAATTATGCAATATTTTCCTTTGATTACATGTGTGAATTTATATGTCATTCGAAAAAAATTAGACAAGCAAATTTTTTTGTACTCTCAGTTATAATTATTATTTAAGATTTCTATTTACAAACTCATTTTAATTTAGATTTTAATATTAAAACTGTATCCTTGAATTATCTAAATGCATTATGTTTCTCTAGCAATCAATTCTTTCATGTCTATTCACAATGACTCTTTTAAGGAAAAAAAAGTAAGGTATAAAAAAGCATGGTTTAGGTATTGAAAATTACTTTATTTAATGAAATAATGATTCTGGTGACTTTAATGCCATTTAATTCCTTTGCTTAGATAGCCTACAGTTAAAAGCATCAGCAGTTTAAATATAATTATTTTACTATAAGCATCAAAATAGCATGAATAATATTTTTAAGGCTAAACTAATATTTAGCAAATGATGTAAAAGTTTCTATTAAGTGGAAATTATGTACCAAAGAATTTTGACCTATGTTGCTGCTTTGTTGTTATTAATCGTTCTCATCTGAATATAATCAGCTCAGGAACATGATTTCATGTTTTTAGGAAAGAGTGGGTTACGCCTGTCATTGGTCAAATCCTTTTGCACCCTGTTGATGAAATCTTGGTCAAATCTTTTTAGTTGACTTTGCGAGTCTGCCTAGGTTTGTCCCACTTTTAATGCAGAACATCTAGGACCAGTGACTGAAAATTTCTCTACTCGTCTTGGCTTACCAAATTCTCGAGGGAAGGTTTTGCTCGAAAGGTTCTCTATTAATTTGTAAGGAATCATCTCATTCTTCCCAGTAAATGCTTTCATGATGTAAGTAATTATCACATCTGGATAGCATTTAAAAAATTCGTTGTTGTAAACCCCGCGAAATCATCAATACTTATAGAATAAAAAGTATTAAAACTAAATTAAAAGTCATTCAAATACTCTGTTTTAGAACATTTTCACTTGTATTTAATGAAGTTAATACATTAAAATAATACAGAACAAAATGGTTCTAGTAGTTAAACAATTGTTTATTAAGTAAACACATGCTACATTAAATAGAAGTTTTATTTCCCTGTTTAATAAGTCTATTTTGTAATGCATTTCATAAGATCATGTCACATAAAGTGCATATTTTTATTGTTCTATATGTGCCTTTTCTTATTTCATCAACATAAGATGCAGAAAGTATTTAAACGAAATTCAGAGAATGCAGTGATAAAAGAATGGTGGATTAAAACATTCTAAGATCTAAAATTCACTTCTTGACAAAAGTTATTTTGGTTCTTTGCTAAACGTTTAAGGAAAAAAACTATTTTAATTTCTTCGGATTTATTCTTCTTTATCCGTTTTGGATTAAGCATTCCGTCTCAGATGCCTCTGAAAATAGAACATAGTAATGCCACATTAGTACTGCTGCATTTAACAAGTATGATTGCCAAGCATTTTAAATAAATGTAATCTTCCATTTGCTCTGTTATTATATGCTAAACGCATCCAATATCTCTTCAATAATAACAGTGGATTCGGAATACTATTACATATTCTATTCTAATGATTAATTTTTAATCTCTTTTAGACATACCTGAAATATTTACTCTAATTACCGATTTCTAATCCAGCAATTAGAGTAAGAGAATTATCAATAATCAAGTATAACTACTAAAATTTCTTTTTTATTAGTGGTTCTTAATGAATAAGCCTTTCAAAATGACAATTATTAATAAATGGTAATTATCAGCGATTCTTAAAAGGCTCCCAAGCTTCAAAATTGAAATTATTAATATTCCTCAAAATTTTGAATGGAGAGGAGAGATACATAACCTAAATAGAGAATTTTTAACAATATGCACATTCGTTTTCACAAAGAAAACAATAAATGTCTAATAAGACATAAATTTACTAGCTCCAGCATAAAAAATGTTACAAAACATTAATTTTAAATAAAAAAGTGCTACACTACTAAATTAAATTTCTTGATTAATTATGGTTATGCTGCTGCCTTTTACACCCAGGTTTCGGAACATTAGTTTAATATTTGAAAGTTATAGCGTCAGTCTTGATTCTACGATCACGCAAGACTTCTGGATTTAATCTGTAAGATTTTCTCCTATCTTACCGCGTGTTTTGGTAGTGTAACTGGAAAGCGCGTCCGACTACCAATCGGAAGGTACGCAGTTCGAGTCTCAGTGAGTTCGGAATGGTCCGGCGTTCGAGTTCCGGCAATGTACATTTTTGGCATTTCTAATCCGAAATACTGTGCCTGCCTAATGGTCTAAAAGTGGACCTCGATGATCTAAATGGTCTATAAAAGTGGAGAGATGTGATGTAATTTATAGCTAAAGGCATCTTAAGGTAGCATTTAAACTTTTATTTAGAGGTATGTCATTAAGTAATACTTATAAGTTTTTTAGATTCCTTGCATGTAGTCACTTATGTTGATTTTTATTTATATCGTATATTTTACTACTTGTTTTCGAATAAGATATGCTCTTAATCAAATCATATAAGAAGAAAGTAAAGGGTCTTAATCAAATAAATTATGTTATAGAAATACGAATTAAATTATGTTATATGATAAGTAGTATGAATTAAATTATGTTGAAATAAGTTATGTTAAATGACAAGAAATAAGAATTTAAAAATAAGAAAAAATAACTTACCTTCATGCACACGAATATTCATTATGTTTTGTAATAGATTTTGCTTCCTGAAATTTGAAAACAAATAGCTTTTAGACAAACAGTAAAAGTAGCATTGTTATCAGTTTGAATAAATTTGATTTCAACGGCCAATGCAGGGGAAGTGTGAGTTCTTTTCCGCTGAAACACCATTTCTGAATTTAAACCATGATTATCAATAAATGATCTAGCTGTAAAATTTATCTTAGCTAACGTAATTTTTACGCTATTTCTTTTCTGATATTTTTAGTTACTCTTTCGACGATTACCAGAACACATGTTAGGTTAAGTTTAAATAATAAGTAAATTTCTAGTTTAGAAAAGATCGAATGTGGTGACTCGCCAGAATTTGTTTATCCTTGAGATATTAATCTGCTGTACAATTCAGGGTGTTGGTGAGTCATTTTGTAATTGCTAGTGCATAAGCTACAACCCACATAGTTTCAGATGGGTCGGTGAGGTATTGACAGTTTTGAATTTTTGACACGTAGAAAGTAGTGGCAGCTAGCTGCTATTAAATCTTAGTTTTACTAAACATAAGACAAAACATTTAAGAAATTTGTTAGCTAAGTTTTACGTCTTGTCTGTATTTTTGGAAAATTTCTAGTAAGCACGAAAGCGAAAAATCATCTAAAGTGCAAGAAAATTAAGCAGATGTAACTCAACAGCTAATTAAGTTTAACCTTGCCAACTATGTTATCGTTTGTTCCATTTAAAATTTAATTTCCTTAATTGTTTTTATCATTTTAATTTGTTTATTATTCATCATATATTTAATTCATTATTTAATAGTTCTATTTAACTCTATTCGATTCAATTTCCAGCTGTTTTTACTTCATATCTTTCCATACTTTTATCTATTTTGAGTATACTGTGTACTTATAAATATGTTATCAAAACTTTGCGATTTTCCTGAAAACTTTAAATGAAGTTTCTTCCTTAAAGAAAATTAGAAATTTAGTTTCCATCGGCTTAAACTTTAAGCAGTACATTTCTTTATTAAATTTTTTTTTCTCATTATTTGAAAAGAATTAATTACTCTTACTAAACTATATTCTGATCAAGTGATCTCTAAGAATCGTATTTTATTGTTTGTTTAATGTACGAAAATCCAAATAACTGGTTATATGGAAATGCGTTATCTACGATCATTCGATTCTTTATGTCCAATCAAATTTCATTATGAAAATATATTTCTAAAATTTAAATTGCGAATAACAAGTCTATTATAATTACTACATATTTATACGCAGTTTTTAGTGAGACACAATCTGGTACTATTTTACAAAAACAAATGCTTTTTCAAACAAATTGATTTTACAGTTTGTCCAGATGACTTATTGTTCGATGTGTAAGAAAGTTAGTTATGCTGTTGCCCAAATCTTTAAAATCTATTCTTTTCCCTAAAAATATTTGAATGGCATATTTATTTTCCTACTTTCAATCACGAGTCTATTTAAAAAGTCTTTAAATTCGTTATCATGTGAATAATATATACAACTATATGCAAATTAAGGAATATCTATTCTAAGTAACAAAATGCTTTTATACTCAGTTATATTTGATGCATTTAAAATTCCATCGTTAAACTCTATCTGAAAATTTTCGAAGAAAGACCTTTATCATATATTCGAAAGCATCTAAATGAATTCCTTCACGGAATGAATTCTTCAATGAATTCCTTTTAAGTGCATTCCTTCTTTAATTTCAGACGCTCATCCTTATTCAGTTAAAGATACAAGCGTTTAAACTTTCTTTTAAATGATACAAAAGAAATTTGTAAAATTATAAGTTTGAAAAGAGATGTATGGACAGAAATCTTGTAATCCTTTTTGAAAGCATTTGCTTATTTTAGTTACAAACATTGTTATTATTAATTTTGAAATTCGAATTGCGTCATCACTGACGTGGTAGAGATTAAATAAATTCGTTGTTGATAGTGGATTTGAAGATTGTAATTTCTTTCATTGTACGAGACAGAGTTAATCAAGAGGGAAACAATCTGAAGAGCTTAAAACTGGAAGCATTTCTCTTGTGAAATCTTTCATAATATTTTTAAAAAAAACGAGCTTAACTAATCTTTTCTATCATCTGTCTATTGCCATTTCATATGATATCTTTCAGAATTTCTCAATATCTTACGAAAATGAACTAGAAAAACATATTCTGAAATGATTTAAAATGTTATCTGTTTGATATATTTCCACGCGAAAAGGTTTCATCAATACACGCTCTAAATAGCAATTTCAAATCTAATTACAATTGTGAGAATACTTTGGAAACTTTCTCTGTTACAGAATGGTACTCATTATATATTTTTCTTCCAAGATACATTTTTAAAAATTGAAAGTGGACACAGTTTTTTTCCCTGATTGAAAACAGTGATTTGGAACTGACACTTAAAAGGAATTGCTCAAAATTAAAACTAATTAATACATATTATGAGGAAAGGCGTATATGCGTTTTGTTAATAATTACGAACAAGGTGTTTCTTGTCCCTCTAAAATCAAAATCAAATAAGCACTGCAATAAAAAAGAAAGGAAACAGATATTCAAGATTTTGGTAAAAATAAGTATTCTTACGCAAGCAGTGATTCCATAACGTAAAACATTAAATAATCTAATAAACTAATAACTTAGATTAAATAAATTTTTGTATAACTTGAAAATATGTGTATAAATGCAGAAACTTATCTGAAATTAAGAACCATAAGACTGAGCTTTTCCCTTTTATTGTAATATATTTCAAATTTACGTTCAAAGAAACTGCAACTTTCTAATAACTTAAATTATTAACAAAGCGTTTCACTGCTAAAACAAAATTTGATTTTAGAACTGAGAAATACATTTAACTAGGACTAAGGCACTGACCTACATCTGCTGTTTTGCTCTGATTAAACCAAGTGATCTTCTTCTTATCCTATTTACTTCTTCCTTCGGTAGAGCACCAGAAGTAAATTTACGATATCCAATAATTGCAGCTATAACCACAGCCACTGCTATGGACAAAAATAGCAAAATGGACAGGGTAGCGTAGAACGGTCTGTTTTCACCTAGTGGATTGTTAAAAAATCATGAACACTTAATGAAGCTCTTCGGATTAACATCAGAAATAGTTACAATAATACATAACTCAAGGAAATGTGCCATATTAAAGCATGTAAGATGATTAATTCGGAAAACAGAGTTGATTTTTTTTTATAAGAGGCCTAAGAATTTTACAGCATCCAATAATTCAGTCTTTCCTTCTGTTACCTACTTATTTAATGTTATACATTTCATCCTTTAAAAATAAATACATAAATAAAACATGCAACAAGCAAGAAAATAAGTTATACCTTTACTTCATTTTAAACTAAACAGAATCTGCTTGCTAACTCAAGAAATTAAAGTAAACAATCTACACTGAAATTTCTTATCTCATTATGAAAGGAATTTTATTTACTGCATCATTAGTTTCATGTGAATATTTCATAATATATTTAAATATTAAATTCTAAAATGTTCGCGAAATTTTAATCGCGTGCAAAAAGTGCCTGATTCGTAAATGTTTAAAAGGTAAAATTACCAGTTTGGATTTATTATTTTATTTTAGTGTAAGGTTTTTGATTTATGATGAGACTCTTTAAGTTTCTCTTTTGACGCAAGCCCATATTCCCGCACACAGAAAATGATTTTCTAACAGCTTCAAGATTCCCTGTCATTTTTCGATTTATGGATGTACAGGTAATATAATATTTTATTATTGTAATAATTTAATAAGAATATAGAAAATCTTTATCTTTCCCGCTTACGATTCTAAATATTACGGAAATGTGTTTCTTAAACAAGTTAATTAGAAAAGAATACACTATAAAGCATGATGTGATAGAGAGATTTTAGAAGTATTCTCGCATGTATTAAGACCAAGAATTTTTAGTAATATTCTGGCGCTTGTTAAGACAAATCTCAAATTTATGCGCTTATCAGATACTAAAAGATTTAAGACGTTCAAAATCATATGCAGCACCTTCTAGAATCAAATCGAGATTCCTCCTATTGCTAGCTGGATATAACATCACTGCATGATGGCACGCGGAACAGATAACGTATGTCTTTAAAAATACTAACTAAGCAAGACGCCGATGATCAGGTATGCTTAGAAAGTTATATAATAACAAAGTATATAATTTCTTCTGGGATTAATTATTATTTGCTTTACTAGATTTTATTTCTTGGATAGTTCTCCTTTGAAGAAATAATTACTTTGTGATGCCATACTCAAAAATATTTTAAACTTTAAGCATCTAAATTAATTTAGGACTTAGGAATTACTGAGCGCAAACTAAGTGTTTGCTGTATATAGCCAGTGATGCATATCATAGTTAATATGTATTACATTCTCGTGTGAGTAATTTACTAGTCTTAATGAAGTTATGAACAAATTCTAAAAACTAAGTTAATTTGGGAATTAGTTTTGAAAAATATTCTTCCCATTCCTGATTCCGAAAATAATTCAGTGTGTATAAAGCACCAACATTCTGCTATTTGCAAACTTGTGTTCTTGCAAATAACACACAACAAAGAATAACGAGAAGTACGGGTACATGAACCTATTACAACCAAAACAAGAATGATTTTTTTGTAAGATATTTATACAGTGCTCGTTTTCTTCCCTTTTTGACTAATTTTTCTTCTTCTTTTACGAAAACTATTCACTGTATGATGGGTTTGATGAAGGACTCGATATATAACCGGTTAAAATAGTTCTGCAAATAAAAGAATGAGTATGATTATACTTTGTAGAGTCAGTCACAGTTACCACTTTCAAAATTATTCTTTTCACTTGCACAAAATGTTTTGTTATCTTGTGGGGATTTATTTAAGTTACTTAACATTTAATTTTATTTTGAAGCAAATTTCCTATTACTCTCGCTTTCAAACCACGCTTTCTTGCCAGAACGCAAATGAGGTAGCGCTCCTGTAAGGAGATAGAAAGAAGTTCGTATTTAAAGGGAAGATTTTGGAAGGTGAATTTAGAGAGCGTGTTCTGCCTGCTTGTAGGCCATGTTGTTACCTTTGATTTATATGGATCAGATTTCTGTCGCGTTGAGCGCTTCTAGCCATTAAGTTTGTTTATGCCGGTTTTACAAGCCTGCCTGCTCGTTAAGTAACCTGTAAATAATCGTTAGACTAACTTAACTCTATTTTAAGTTCCTTGTTACCTTTTGAGTTGAGCTAAAAGTGCTGCCTTTTGTGAGCACGAGTCGGTGCCATCTGTGAATATATTGAATTAATAAAGGAATATTGAATTAATTTACATTATATAATATTGAATTAATTTACATCTTTCTCTTAAACTTTGTTGTACGTCCGATTTATGGATAGTTCCTGACACAGTCTGTTAATGTCTAGTTAGTTTATGCTCGCTAAGAAGACAAGATGTTACAATCTATCGCTACCTCTTACATGCCCATATGTGAATCAGTACGTTCTGAAGCATATACTAAAATCAGAAAAGGAAAAAATACTCTAAGAGAGAGAAATATGTGAGCATATGTGATATATCTATAGTTCTAATTTTTCTCCAAAACAAAGATGTAAACCACAGATCTTTCATAAATAAGAAATAAGCATTTCAAAGAAAGTATTCATTGTGCATTCGGCTTTATGCAGTTTAACATAATAAAAAGATTAAAGGCTCTCTTCCTGAAAAATATTAATAACAATTATATAATATTTAATTTTAAATATACTGAAACATTATATTTAATCTCACAACCAACCATTTAGAAATTATTATGCAAAAACTAATAATTAACTTAAGTAGCATGTGTATATACAGGGTGACTAACCAAAGCTTTTAGACGAACTTGAATGGTAAGTCAAGCATACAGAGACAACTCATTTTTGAAGTCCCAAAAGCAATGAACGACCACTAAAGGAGATTCTTTGTCAGTGAATTAAAGAAAAGAGAAGCATACCAGATAAATTATACAATGCAGGTTTAAGAAAATATAAGTTTACAGTAACACAACAACATAGATATGACAAAAGGACGAAAATAACATTCTTTTTAGTTTCTGAAATATATAGCTGCCTCATCGTTCTGAAATCATGTTATAACGAATGTATGCCAGAATGTCATGGAGTAAGTCTAGTAACAGATCTAAAAATATCCGACACCTTCTGTCATCGAAATATGTTGGGAGAAGGTATGAGGTTAGTAAACAATATTTACAATTGCCGCCCAAGCATTTATGAAAACCGTTGATCCCTTCTTCTGTGATAGATGAACACGTTTTTCTGTCTCCACCAGCACGTGCGTTTACTTCGAATGTCCCGTTTGTATATAAGTTTTAGCCCAGATGACTAGACATCAGATAATGGGGGATTCCCCGATTTGAAAACGTTGTTGATGTAAATGGCGTGTTGCAGGCCTATTTCCTTCCGATTCCCCATAAATCACTAATGCATCTTTGCGATATCTGTATGACTAAAAACACTCCATACTACACTGACTATATCGACGACTCGAATGATACTGCAATACAAAGTGCCAACGCACTCAATTACAAAGAGCTCCTTCTAGCAGTTCCTCTTAGCATTTGGTACCCTGCATCCTATTTAAAACCACTTTTTTGTATGTCATCTTTAAAATATAAATTTTCCAACTATCCTTAAAATTTATCAAAAGAACTTTGAATCATTCATAGCTATATATGTATAAAGATAGATTTTTTGAATCATTCATAGCTATATATGTATAAAGAGAGATTTTTTGAATCATGCTGTTTTCTATATAAGATCAAAAGAATTTTTATTGCCTCTCTCTCGTGTGTATATATATATTCACATACACACACCACATTTCCTCGAGTATTTTCTAACCTTTGTTTGCTAATTTTATCGTCCAAAAGTGGAGAAGGGAAATTTATGAGAATAATTCAATTTACGAAAGACGCGGTTACAGTAAGCACGTAACAAATGAAAATTAGTTATAAATAATTTACAGGTAATTATCACAATATTTTTGTTTTAAATGAAACTTACATTCCAATTAGAAGCTATATAGAATATTAACATTACAATATTTAATAAGATATCTTCATTTATACTTGCCTGTAGCTTAAATGCCGTCCGTTCTTAGTGTCACCTCTGATACTCCTTAGGCCCGAAACCATCCATAAATAATTAGAGACGATGAATGTATAACTGACTCAGCGAAATCGTAGGCTGAATATAAATTCACGTTTGCTTCACTGTGGAGGGCCGGTTCATGTACTGGGGGGGGGCTTGAAGTTCAACAGGTAGAAAAGAAAAGTTTGGCGTGATCTTCGCAGGCAGTTTAGGGTGGTTTATTGTTTTTGTAAGACGAAAACTATCACTGCATGGACGAATGAATTTTAAAATTTAGGGCAAGTAGTTCTCTGAAAGCACTAAGGATCGGCAAAATTGCGAGAATATTTTTAATATTTTTAAAAGTTCTTTAGATATTACCAAGTTAGCATTACTAGCATACTACGCAATCAAATTCTTCTTCAGTATGGGTCTAATCACGCATCTACAGTGTTCCGTCTTTTCCTTGTGCTTTTATTATGACATATATATGTGTGTGACAAAAAAAACTCAGAAGTAATGACCAGCAGGAATTTTGATGGCGTAGATGTGTTGATCCATAATGAATAGGAAATTGGAGGCGAAGGCAGATTAAATCTTCATTTTTACTTCCTTGTACTAAGTAAAAAGGAAGTATTGTAATCGCGAAAAGTTTCAGGCAGCATATGTCAACGAAAATATCCATTTTGACCGCTATCGAATACAATTTAACGATGTTTTTGCGTGATATCTGTACGTAAGGACAGAATAAAATACTCTTTTCCTTCAAAAAAATTATAAAGCTGCTTTAAAATTAATTCTGAAGAGAATTTTTCGTGGCGTCTGTACGGACGTATGTAGGTACGTGCGTACGTACGTATCTCGCATAACTCAAAAACGAGTAGCCTCAGAACGTTGAAATTTTGTGTAGAGGACTGCTAAAACATGTATATGTGCACCTCGTATTTTGGTTGCAATCGGCCGCACCAAACGTATATAAATATATTTATATATATATCCACTCTGTTACCCGGATCAGTGATCTCAGTTTCTTTACTCTTATATGTTTGTAAATTGTACATTTTTTGCTTTAAAAAATGATTGTATTATGTTGTTTTTATCTTCCGGTTAAGGTTTTTATGCCTTTAGTAAATCTGTGTGCAATACTTTTAGAATTATCAACAATTTTAAAGTTGTCTAAATGCTGCCAAGCCTTTTTTTATGGCGGCCATTGATGTTTACATTTGAAACAGGAGACTAGTGGATTTGTTGCCAATCTAGAGAAACTTAGCTTCGCAACAACAAAGATAACGCATTCATTTATTCTTGCCAATTAAATCATGCTTAATTCTTTCTGGAATTTTTTCGAGGAAATAAGTGTTTAAGATTTACTTCGTAATTTTTAATATAGATATTTTGAGTTTTTATGTATTTTTGCCTTCTCGCGAAGTGAGAACTGAATTAGTAATTGAATGAGAAATACTCAATCGTCTGTGAAAAACTGTTTTTTTTTTTTTTTTTTTTTTTTTTTTTTGTTTGCTTAATTTTTTTTATACATCATTCTAGCTTTATTACAATATTTGAATAAAACATGTGGCAACGATTAGATAATTCTATTCTTTAAATGACATAATGTTGTGCATTATGAGTTATAATATGAACGAAATATATAACTGTTATATAACTACTATTGGATTATAATAACAGTTAACTTAGTTTCCGTTATATAATTATTATATAAGTTAACTGTTATATAATTATGAATACTGTTAAGTGAATCAAGCGCCAGAGTGTCGCTATGGTAAACAAATACTAGAGTGAATTTTAAAGAATGCATTTATTCTATTGTGATTCAAGCGCTGTCGGCGAAGTAGATTTAATTCAATCCAATAAGTTTAAATGAAATGCAAGAAAAAATGCGTATAATTTAATATTCCGTACAAGGAAGTCATGTGGTGTACACATCAGATTTTTTATTTCAGCAAACATGTTGCGGCCACAAGCAAGTTGGCACATTAAATGTGTCTATTTCGAAAAGTTTACATTTTAGATAAATTTGCAGTAAGATAGAAGGAGCAAACAGACAGTAGTCCAGCTAGGTCAAAGCGTAGAAAGCAAGCGCTTTGTGATCAGAGTGAAATCGTAATTCAAACTGAGTTAGTTTTTCGTTCTCAACACATTTTGATTGGATAGTTAATACTGCTGCAAAATCACTTTTGGCTGCTTGAGTTTTATATATATATATATATATATATATATGATCTTATGTTAAGCTTGTGTACACACCTTGCAATTATTATAAATGAATTGGCCTTGCTTTTATTCTAATTTAATAATCAGTTTAGATGCTTTAAGTTCATATATATATATATATATAATTTAACAAATATTATCTATTCGTATAAAGCTAATTTAAAGTTAATTTAAATTATAAATTCTGAAATTTTAATTGCATACAAATAAAAGATTAATTATTGCTGCGAACTAATTTACAATACCATTTAAATTCTGAGAGCATATGTAAATTAAGTGCAAGTATATAAAAGCATAAAAAATATGTAATATTGCAAAAAATTAGTCCCCAAACAATTTTTTTAAGAATTTTTAAGACTAAACTAATTTGCATAAGTGAATAATTGTTGAGCAGGCAGGACACAGATCTTATCAAGGGGAAGTTGCCTCCAAACCTAACTCTTCAATTACTCAATCCGTGTTTCGTCATCCATATAGGCATGAGTATACTAATATTATAGTAATATTAAAACCAAATGTAGTGAATTACTTAAAAAAGAAATTTAAACTAAAATTTTGAGATATTTAGTAAACAAATTGACTAAGAATCAAAATATTAATTAAATGTAAATTGCCAATGTAATAAGAGTAGAAAATCAAACTTTTTTAGAAAACCAAAATTTAGAAACCTTTGCCTATTTGAAAACTTCCAGAACCCGAATTATGCATATATATATAGATCTATATCTAGATCTCTATATATACACATGCATAAAGTTTTAGTATGTAATTATTTTTACGAGATGTTGTTAAGAAAGCAATCGGAAATTGGCAAGCGATGAAAAAGGCAGTCTTACTTTCAGGAAACCATCTCTCACTGCATTCGTAATGAGGTGATGCATGTGTAGTATTAGAATATATACACTGTTTCTTCTTAAAATTGTAATGGCACTGTAAAAGGTAAAAATTTAAAATAAGATGTCTAAAACTAAACAGTTACTTTCAGAATGGATGCTATATGAAATACATTATAAATTAACTAACCAATGAGCGTTTAGTATTTAAGCAAGGAAACACAGAATTGTGGGCAAGTGCAGGATAAATCACGTTTTCTCTAAAGCCTAAGGTTCAAGACGGTTACCACTCTAGAAAATGCTAAGACTTCTAAAAAAAAAATTATTTTCTTTGTTATTACTTACTTGTTATTATATACATTTGTGTCCAATAATTAAACTATTAATTACAAAATGCATCATGAATTATTAAATCAATCGAAAAATTAACAGTTAGATGATTAAATAAAGAAACAACTCACTAACTTAATTAGATATTAAATGAATAAAATATGAAATATTTTTATTAACATCATGGTCAGAACTATTAAAATTGCACGCATATGCAAACAAATAGAGCAGTTTATTATTTGAGAAATTCACTACTTCAACAATTAGAAGATTACACAAAGAAATTAATTAAATAGCATAGTTGTGTATAAGTTTACAGAATTACACTATCTGGAGATTTAAAAAGAGTATAAAATTAATAAATAGGAATTAAATATGCTAAGTTTGCGTTGGTATTAGTAAAAATGATAAATTAAACTAAATATAGCTCCTTTTGTTCAAAAGAAGTTTAACTGTGTTCTGTAAAATTTACTAAACTAGCGGAAGTACCCGATACCAGTTAAGTTAGATCGGGAGTAACGCATCTAACAACAGACAACTCTACGATTAACAAACTCTATGATTTGAAAGCGAGCAGCAGCAACAATTTTCGAAATAAAGCATTTTTATCCCCAACGCGCGAGACTGTTGCCACTCGGAAAAATGAGAGCGAAAATTAGTGTTTTCAAAGGTCTTAATTCATATTTCGGCTGATTGAAGTCGTACGAAGATGAGAGTACTCGAAATGAAACCACGAATTCCCACAAATTTTTTGAATCAGGATTAATTTATTTAATGTTTGGCAATGCTATTTTTATTTCATCGTAAAACGCAGAAATTTTTTATTAACAAACTCTACGATTTGAAAGCCAGCAGTGATACGAATTCTCAAAATAAAGCAGATCTTTATCTCAAGCGTGCGAGACTGTTGCCACTCGGAAAAATGAGAGCAACAATTAGCGATTTCAGAGTTTTAAATTAAGATCTATGATTTTAGCTACTTTTTTTTGGGGGGGGGTTAGAAGGGAATGGACATCGATCTTTCCCAGGACCCAGAAAAGAATTGCAGAAACTTCGGTGATGACAGCTATAGTAGTGACTGAGTTAATACCGAACAAACAAACGCTAAAACAGACAATCTTCTCTCTATATATAGATTACTGAAGTGAAATTTACATTCATTTGAGTTCTCATTCATGTTCATTATGAACATGTATTAATCAAACTTTTTTGCATATATATTGGGGTTATATTCGCAAGAAAGCAGGAAATTTTTGAAACAAATTATTGGAATGATTTACCGGTACATAATCTTTGAACGAAAATATTTTCCTCGTTCTAACTTTCCCAAAAAATACCCATATTACTTGACTAGCTAATGCTATCTATAACACAAATTGTTATTAGTAATTAATGAAAGTTAAGAAATCGTAAATTTATACTTACCATGCATTAACTTTAATTAAAACATTAATAAATTAGACTAAACTTATAATTTTGAATACATTTGAAAATATTGCTTGTCATTATATTTTATTGAATGTATCTAGATCAGTACTACTTTATTTCACATGCAGTTTATTTTCGGAAATTAATTAAGAGTTGGAAAAATTGATAGTAATAATAAAACATCAAAACTGATCATGTAACCAAGGCACATGAACATTTTTCTGTTTCTAACGAACACTGAAATTTAAAACTAAATATTTCCTGCCAGCACACATGGATATTTTCGGTTTGTACATTGTCAAATGTTAATAAACTGCTCGATATTTCAATAAATACTTTTCATTCATTAATTCCGCTGAAAGAGGGGAATTCACATGCAGCTTAAACATCTTGGAAATACTCAGATGAGAATTAATTTAACTAGTAGTTGTTTAACAGTTTTGTGGCAGAAGGTTGTATCAATAACTTCCTAAGAAACTAATTAAAGAAACCTAACCCTTTTTCACTTATTTTGAAAAATTATCTATCATCTGGAGCAGAAGAATGATGTAAATGTAAAAAAGGAGCTTTCAGTCAAAAAAAAAGAAAAAATAAATAAATAAATAAATAAATTAAATTATCTGACGACTCCGGGAGGTATATTTCGCAACTGCACATCAGCGTAGCCACTGAGGGAGGGGTTTCGAAAATGGGCCAATGAGTTGCTATTGCTCTTGTGATGCTAAATCTTCGTGCATGTGAGCGTATGTTGTTTGCGTTTTAATTTGCATTTGTTTCGCAGTTATAAATATATGGCGTAATAATAGAAAATCTCGTAGAGCTTTCGTTTTCTGAGTTTCATTAATCGCTGACATTTCACTTTCGCGATTTTTATCACGCATTAATATTAGGACTGATGTTCACGGCATATTATGCGGATTAAGGTAATTCAAGTGTATAATATTTTTTTAATTGAGCTGAGAATGACTGAAAATGTTACAAAGAATCTAGTGTTTTCTTATTTCAGTGCTTGAATTCTTTTGATTTTAAAGTGTAATATTCAGAATACATATGATCATATCCATTGTTAACATTAAAAATGTAAATAAATTAAATATACTTGTTGTGAATACGATAAATTCACTCTGTTTGATGAGTATTTCTTGTGTAGACAGTACATTTAAGAGTGAGCAGTTATTAAATGTGAAATTTAACATACTAAATGTATACGAATGCAAATTAGTAAAGTTCACTTTGAATAAAATTCTGCATTGGTTATTACTATAGAACATCTTTTTCATATGGACTGCAACGAAAAGTGCAATCTATTTACATATATAATTGGTGTAAATATTTTTTTCATACGCATAGTTTTATATAAAGAATGCATTTGGGCTCAGATGTTTATCACATATTTCTTTCATCATCTTATTTACCACATATTAAGTAATATTTCACATCGATATTTTTGCGAAGTATCTAACATGTGTTTGTATTTATTTCAACCAGGTAGTGAAATCTTTATTATTTCCTATAAATTGATTTAACTTCGCAATGAAAAGTTTCAGAAGCAATCGACGATGCTTTAATTATTTTGTACAGAAAATTGCGTGGCAAAATATTTTCAACTATCTTGCTTAAGTCTTAAAGCACGCGAAAGGTCATGTGACGTGACAGAAATATTACTAGATGCTCATTGGTCCATCCTAGAAGCCACTCCCTCGGTGGCTACACAGATGTGCACTTGTGAAATATGCCACCGGGAGAATTTAAAGAGATCAAGGAAACTGTAAGAATCATAACATCTTCTAGAAGATTTACTATCTTCACTTCTTTCTTAAAGACGATCGATAATGAAAGAGCCGCACAAAACTGCCTTTCTTAAATGTAAAATTTTTAATTGAAAGAAAAAATGGATTGTTGATTTAATAAACATTGCGATACCACAATATGACCCTTATACTAGTGTAAAAAATGTGCCATTGATCTTGTGTAGCACCAAACATCCATAGGGTCACATCTTTCCATTTTCTTTAGCAGATGGAGCCATTTACGACGGTGTGCCATCATGAAGTCCACGGAAGCTTTATGCAAGTTGGTCACAGTTCTCCAAGATTGTTCATGAGGATGCTCTGCATAAACGTGCCTGAACCTTTATGAAACAACCTTCTCCTATAGTGCAAGAAACTGTTTATCTCTTCCAAGAAAAAAATCAAATTAAAATTTCGATTGGAAATATGAAAGTATATGTAGGGAATGTCAGAAACGAAGACATCGACTGTCTTGCTAAAGAGCCGGTTATTACATTTGATTCCCAAGTTCGGAAAGCAAAATGGTCACTATCCTATCTAAAGAAAGAAACATTTAAGTATATAAAATAATTTTGGAACAGCTAATTTGAAATTTCCAGCTCAGCGCGAAAGAACACACGAATTAATTAATGTAATAAACGAGAAAATATCAGTCATTAACCCCCGTTTAAATCAATTTATATATGCACACACTCCGCTCCTCACTTAAAGAGAAATATATGTTTCTCAGATAACTATTTTCCATTTTCCATTGCCTTTTCTCATGTACGTCAATATGCTTATCACAGTATTATATCAACTACGAACGAGCTAGTATTTCGAAAATATTATATAAATACTTCTAAACTTCATCATAAGATCAATAATATTGTCAACTTCGGAACAAGATCAAAATATTTCTAAACTCTAACTAGACTCATGTTCAAAATTAAGAAATTTTGCCCATTATATCGAATTTCTTAAAAACTAATGCACAGGTTTTAATGTAATTTGGTATGAATATACATTTATAGCAAAGGAAAAGGTGTACCATTCCAAATTCATTTTATGTAGGCATGGTTATCAGAAAAGCCCAAAATGCAAGGATGCCCCAAATCCACATTATAATATCGAACTGAAACTAAGCCTAATATGGGATATTTTCAATTCGGCGGTGGTTCTCGCAAGAGGATGGAGAGATGAAATTGCCCTGCAAGAGTATCCTAGACATGCTTTATATATAGGTTAGGACACGTGGCTGACCAATCCATGCGCCGGTATCCTCACTTTCTAGCTAATCTCGTCGACTAGGTGAGCTCTGTGTGGACGAGCGCTGTTGTCTATTAACAGGAACCAGGACCAACTGCGACACTATGAAGTCGAATATAAGAGCACCTCTCTATACCTGTATCATCCAAACAGCCTTTGTGAAGCCCATGCAGGGGCTTGCTGCCCTGAAGTGTTGTTCGATATAATGCCTCCAGACCAGTACAAGTCCATCACAGTAATGATCACTTTCCTTGGTAAAGGAGGAATACTATCGTGTTTCAGGCTCTCTTCATATCAGGTA